TGATCACTTTCAAAAACTGTTTTTCCTTACCCAGATGTGTTTTAGGGTTTCCAGCCGGTGCGGTGTTTGTACCTGCGCAGCGCATCCCCTGGCAGGAGGCGAGGGTGATCTGGGGGCTCGTGGAAGGTGGGTTTGGACACTGAACTGGTGCACAGGCTGCGGCTGGTGTGGATCCTCAGCAGAGGCGTGGATGACGAGCCCCTGGTGTCTTTTACCCAAATTTAAGCCACTGGGTGAGGTTGCTGCGGGTGCCTGGTCACTGTGGCCAGGCACGGCTCCGAACCCGGCTGCTGCGGGAGCTGCCAGGCACCGCGGGAGGCACAACTGCTTCCCCATCCCCACGCTGAGCTGACGGTCCTAAAAATAACTGGGCTGACAGAGCTGATCGGGTTGCTGGGGCTGGCAGGGCGCTTGCAGGCTGCTCTCCCTGCAGCAGGGACCCACGGGGTTCGCTCCCCACTTTTGGTGTGCCGGCTGACACCCCGCACCTTGCAGGGGAGGGAAATGTGCAGAAACGGGATCGGTGGGGGATTGAACGGTGTTGGTTTGGGATTTGGGGTGTTACTCTGTGGCTAGAACTGATTGTGGGTTTCCTGGCCGGATCCTTACAGCACAGCACATCTCGAGGTGTTCGCTGCGCCAGCACGGTCCTGGCGCTCAGGGTGCTCGCTGGTGTCTGACCTGGGTGGGCTCGGAAGGGAGAAGGTCTGAAGGACCCTTTCCTATTAATGGTACCTAAAAACTCTGCTCAGTCACCAGCTGCTGTGCTCCCACCGCTAAATGGCTTTCCTCTCCTGGCTCTGTCCTTGCTGCTCAATAGGATGGCATCATCTAGTGGTTACAGCAGGGCTTCGGGAGGCGGTGGCCTCGCTCCCGCTGTGCTGAGCCGGGCTCACACGGCAAGGTTTGGGGTGTGATCATACAGATCTGTGTCTGTGCATCCCTTTTCTCCGTGCTGAATGAATCTGAATGCATTTGGGGCTGCAGTGGGGGAAGGCGTGTGGCCACGCGGAGGGTTTTGTCGGTAATTGGCCACGAGGTCTGTACGTAATTAATGAGAGGTGTAGCTGGGTGGAAAGGAGCGCTTAACTGGACTGAGGATGTGTTTTAGGGGATTTGTACGATCTCTTTTTGGTGCTAGTTGCTAGGGCTTTTCTTCCTTTTCGTTTCGTTTTGCTTTGTTGTTGGGTAAGTGAGAATTTCCAGGTTACGCCTGAGAAATCAGCTCCGGAGTTGCCTCAGGAGTGAAGCTCGGGAGCTCCAAGCGTGCTCAATGAACTTCTCGTGTGCCCTGGTTTGTGGATTTTGGAGCCATCACCTCGCATTTCCCACTCAATCTTCTCACGAGCTCTGCACCACCACGTCCCGGCGGTACCTGGGGTGAGGGAGCCGCATCCCCGACCTGCTGGGAGCCTGGGGACGGGACGGATAACGGGGACACATCGCTGTATGGACAGCACGGGGCGGGTGCCAGTGGGGCTGAGCATCACCCGTAGCCCTTTCACTCCTCACCTAACCGAGATCCCTCCCAGGTCGCTGCTGCGGGGCTTTGGCTGCCCATTGCTCTCCTGTGTCTCTTCGTGGGCTCACCGGCGTGGCCGAGGGGAGGACTTGGTGAGCCCAGCCCAGGTCCCGACCTCCCCCCACGGCTGGTTTTAAGGTTTTAAATGTCGTGGCCACGTCTCCAGGTCCTTTGGGGACTGGGGTGGCCGCACAATTGTGGCAGCAGCACGCAGTCAGAAATGGTCTGGGTTTTCCCCTGATGGTCTTAGGATGCGTCCGTGCTGCTGTGTGGCTGTCACGTTCAGGTGGGGACGTCAAATGAGTTGGGAGGAGGAGAAGGTGATGATGTGGAGAGCAAAGTTACAAGAATTAGAGGGCTGAGGTGTGCAGTGAGTCCAAAGTTCAATACTCTGTTCTCCGGGAACTCTGGCTGGATTTCCACGTGTAATTCCCATCACCTGTTTTGTTTTTCTGCCCGCAGACTTTTTGTTCCTCCCATGCGTTGTGTTTCTGATCCAGTAAAGTTAATGTTTTTGCAAGTTAAAATGGTTTGCAAAAAACAACACTTTACAGCTGCAAGGGCACTTTGGAAACCCAGCACTTCAGCTGATGGTTTTTCTCTTTCTTACCAACTTGGCGTTGTTCTTACTTAGGACGCACTTGTTCCGAGTGAAGCTCTTTAGCAGAAACCACGTTTGGTTCTCTCTGAGGGTCCCCTCTTGGTTTGAGCCCAGGAATAACGCAGTTTGGGCTCGGTCTTGGCTGCCGAGCTCAGCACAAACCCGCAGCATTTTGACCCGTGGTACCTCCAGAGCTTGCAGGGGGCTCTCTTTCCACTCCTCGTTCAGCCGTGGCATCGTTACAACCCCTGTCCCACTTCTGAGGTGAAGCTCGGTGCATTTTGAGCCTGATTGGAGCTGATGGGAGCCGCCGTGGTCCCCGTGCAGCTGTGCCGATGGTGCCCATCTCGGCCGGGCGCATCCAAGAGCTCGGCTCCGTCCCTCCTGCAGCCGTGGCCGAGGGGAGCCCGGTGCTGTCCTGGGAAGAAAAAGGGAAAAAAAAAAAAAAGTTTAAATGAACAAACGGAGGGAGTTTGAGCGCAGGCTGTAACCTGGTGCCACCAATAAACGCCGATATTTCGCACCGCTGCTGCCTGGTGTCTGCATCCCGGCGCCGTTAACCTCCCCGATAACGCAGTGGGTTTGGGGTTTAGGGTTTGAGGTGTCACCGGGAGGAAAAACCCTTCTTTGGGTGCCTTGGGATGCCCACAGGCTGCAGAAGGACGTTTTGGGGGCGCACCGCAGACGGGAGAGCCCCCCTCAAACTGGGGTGGGTACAGAGGGGATTGTGCTGGAGAAGCGGGGTGAAGGGTCGGGCTCGGCACGGCCCCGTTTGGGTGTTTCCAGCCCTGAACCGCAGCCCAACAATTCCCTGAGCTCCCAGAAGCTGCTTCCCCTGCTTCGTGCCCAGTCCTCGCCCTCCGCGCGGGAGCAGCCCCTTGCTTCGTGCTGGGGGGGGGCACAGGGAGCACCGGCAGCCCCCTGAGCCCACCCTCCTGCTGCGTGTTAATTAATTTCCAATTAAACCCAGCGGCTGTTGCAGCGCCCTGGGGGCTCCCCAACACCCCTGGGGCCAAGGACACCCAAAGCAAGGTGACCTGGACCCCTTCTCGCACCTACCCGGGGTGCCGGTGCCCTACACGTGTGCGCAGCCACCGCACCGCAGCGGGGTCCTCGGGCAGCGTTCCCCCATCCCGGGGGTCAGGTTTGGGGGATTTTTGGCTCCCAGGACAGGTCCTTTCACCCGGCCTGGATGGGGTTTGGTTCCTCTTGGGATGCGAAACCAAACCCCAAACCGGGGCTGGAACCCACCCAACGCCAGGACCCCCCCCCCGGGGCTGGTTTGGGAAGGGCGCACGGGGCTGGATGGGGCCAGGAGGGATTTGGGGCAGGGTGGGTGCATGGGGTGGGCTCCGCAGCGGGGTTTTGGGGTGGTGGTGACCCCAGTGCTCAGCTTCCCACCCCCAGCCCCTCCCTCCAGGGGCTTTGGGACCCCCTGGGGACACAGCAGGGCCACGGGGGATGCTGTGGACACCGGGATCGCCCCCACCGCTGGGCTCTGTAGGGCCAAGGGGACACGGGGATGACCCCCACGCCCCCTCCCCAGTGCAGCAAACCTCTCGGTGCCCCCACCCGCACCCAGCCCCGTGGGGGTGCCCCAGGGGAGGTGTCAGCACCCTGGGGGCTCCCCCTATCCCCCTGCCCCCCCCCCCGACCTATTTATGGGGCCATCTGCTCCCGGCACAAAGCGGATTTGGAGCCTGGTGGGATCAGGGCCTGGGGGCTGCGGGGGGCAACACCACAGCGGCGCGGGGTGTCCGGCTGTCCCTCTGTCCGTCCCTCTGTCTGTCCGGCCCCCGGCCCCCTGCAGCCCCTGCCCCCCCCAGCCCGTGTCCGTCCTCCCCCCGCAGCCCTTCCCCTTTCGCCCCTTTCCCCACATTTCCATTTTTTTCCTTTTAAGATTTTCCGCCTCCTTTCATTTCCTTTTTATTCCCTTTTCAATTCACTTTCCTTTTTATTTCCCCCCTTTTTTTATTTTTTCTTTCCCTTTTGCCCTTTTTATTCCTTTCCCTTTTTTTCCTTTCCCTTATTGCCTTTTTATTTCCCCTTTCCTTATTTTTTCCTTTTTTATTTCCTTTCCCTTATTCCTCTTTAGCCCCTTTTTTTCCCCTTTTTTCCCTTTTTTTCCCTTTTTCCCCCTTTTCCCCTTTTTTTCCCTTTTTTCCTTTTTCTTTTTTCCCTTTTTTTCCCTTTTTTTCCCTTTTTTTCCCTTTTTTTCCCTTTTTCCCTTTTTTTTTTTTTCCCTTTTTTTCCCTTTTTTTCCCTTTTTTCCCTTTTCCCTTTTTCCTTTTTCCCTTTTTCCTTTTTCCCTTTTTTCCTTTTTCCCTTTTTTCCCCTTTTCCCCTTTTTTCCCCTTTTCCCCTTTTTTTCCCCTTTTCCCTTTTTTCCCCTTTTTTCCCTTTTTCCCTTTTTTTCCCTTTTTTCCCCTTTTTTTCCCTTTTTTCCTTTTTTCCTTTTTCCCTTTTCCCCCTTTTTTCCTTTTCCCCTTTTTTCCTTTTTTCCCTTTTTTCCTTTTCCCCCTTTTTTCCTTTTTCCCCTTTTTTTACCCTTTTTTCCTTTTTTCCCCTTTCCCCCTTTTTTCCTTTTTCCATTTTTTCCCTTTTTTCCATTTTTTTCCTTTTTCCATTTTCTTTCAAATTTTTCCATTTTCTTCCCCCCCTTTCTTGCTTTTTCCCCCTTTTCTCCCCTTTTTTCCTTTTTCTCCCCTTTTTTACCCCCCCTCTCCCCCCTCTCCCCCCAATTCCCTTTCATTTCCCCTTTTTCCCCCCTCCCCCCGCCCCCCCCGTGCCCGGTCTCTGCCGCCCCCTACCGGCCCCAAGCCCCCAGCCCCCCCCAAAACCCCTCCCCCAAGCCCCGCCCCCACCCCCAGACCCCGCCCCCCCCAAATCAGGCCCCGCCCCCTCCGTCACGCGCCGCGCGGGTTCCGGGTGCGGGCGGCGCGCGCAGGTGGGGGGAGGGCGGGGCCGGGCCGCGGGGGGGCGCGGGGGGGGGCGATGGGGGGGGGGTCTGGGCACGGGGGGGGGCGATGAATGGGGAGGGGGCACGGGGGTGTAAGGGGGGGGGCAGTGCACGGGGGGGGCACAGGGGGGTGCTGAGCACGGGGGGGGCAATGCACGAGGGGGGTGCACGGGGGGGCCCTGTGCAATGCCCCGGGGGGGTGCAGTGCACGGGGGGGGGGGTGAAATAATTTGGGTGGGGGGTGCGGAGCATTGGGGGGGGCGGTTCCGGGGGGGGAGCAGTGCTTTTGGGGGGGTGCAATGTGCATGGGGTGCAATGCACGGGGGGGGGTGCAGCGATCCGGGGGGGGTGGGTGTAATGCACGGGGGGCTGCAATGCATGGGGGGGGGGGGTGTAATGCACGGGGGGGTTCACAGTGCTCGGGGGGGGGGGTCACAAAGCACACAGGGGGCAGCGCTGGGGCACGTTGCACGGTGGGGGGGGGCTCTATAACGCACTCCCCACTTTGGGGGGGGGATTTGGGTGGTGCCGGGGGGGGGGTGCACACCCCTGGTGCTGCTGGCCCCCCCCCCACTGCTCACCCCCCCCCCCCAAAATTCCTCCCGCAGGGCCCCACCTGGGGTGCTCCCCCCCCACCCCTCCCCCCAGTCCAAGGCAGCAGCTGGGTGCTGGCACCCTTGGGTGCCCCTGACCCCTTTAATCCCCCCCCCGTCCCCCCCCCCATGCCGGCAGCAGCCCCCCCCGCGCCCCCAGCCTGGCCATGAGCAGCAACGCCACAGCTCCCAGTGCTCCCAGTACGGGGGACTCACTGGTGGGCTCCGTGCTGGGCCCCTTCGTCTTCCTCACCCTCCTGGGCGCCGTGGTGGCCGCGGTGAGTTTAGGGGGGGGGGGTCCGGGGGGGGGTCCCATCCCCATGCACCCCCCTTTTACACCCCCGTCCCACCCCGCAGGTGATGTACGTGCAGAAGAAGCGGAGGTGAGCGCGGGCTTGGCCCCAAATTGGGGTTGTGGGGTTGGGAGGGGGGGGTTGGGGGGGGGGCACACCCTGACGCCCCCCCCCCCCAGCACCCCTAAACCCCGCTCAGCCCCCGTCCCCCCCCCAGGTCGGAGCGGCTGCGGCACCGCCTGCTGCCCATGTACAGCTACGACCCCGCCGAGGAGCTTCATGAGGCTGAGCAGGAGCTGCTGGTGGAGGCTGACGACACCCGGGTGAGCATTTTGGGGCTAAAAACAGCCTTTTTGGGCAAAAAAGGCCTTTTTTGGGCCAAAAATGGCCTTTTTGGGGCAAAAAAGGCCTTTTTGGGGCCAAAAACGTCCTTTATGGGGCCACCATCCATTTCCTTCCCTCCAAGTCCACAGCCGGCGGCGCTCAATTTTTTTTATTTTGGGGGGGTCCCCGTCTGTTGCAGGTGGTGCCCGGCTGGGGGGGCCGCGGGCACTGGAAGGCCTGATGCTGCCACCTCCCCCCCCCACCCGGGGTCGGAGGCACCGGAGGACAGCAGCGGGGGCACAGCGGGGGCGATGCCACCGGGACGCCTCCCACCTTCACGCACCTTTTTTTTGGGATGGTTTTCGTTGAAAATGTGTCCCCCCCCCAAAAAAAAAAGCCCCCTAAATGCACTGAGAATGGGATATGGGGGCACAGCCAGGGGGGCAGGACACCCCCAGGGGCAAATAAACGGGTTTCTTTGCAATAAACGTGCTGGTGCTGCTTTCCCGGGGCAAATCCCACTCATTTTTACCCCCCCCCCCCAAAGATACCGACCCCATTGCAGCCCCCCCCGCCCCCCCAGGGGCTGACCCGGAGCACCGAACGTCCATAAAATGTTTTTATTCAAGTAACTGCAAATAGGAACCCAAAAGGTCGTCAACGGCGGACCGAAAAATAAAAATTAAAAATAATAACACCCCCCCCACCACCAGTTCTCTCCCTGCCGGGAGCGCCCCAAAACCCACCACCGACCCCAATCCCGCTGTGGGGTCACGGCAGGGGGGAGGGGACCCCAAATCCCTGCCCCGGCACCCTGCGGGCTCTGTCCCTGGGAGCAGCAGAGCGACCTGAACCTCAACATGAACAGTAGAAAAACTAAAAAAAAAAATTAAAACAACAAAAAAAAAGAGACTAAACTGGGGAGAACCCCCTCCTCCAGCGACACCCCAAAAAAAAAAAAAAAGGAAAAACCCCAAAAACCAAGCGGGGGAGGCCCCGGCAGCCCCGAATGCGGCGCAGCAGCAGCAGCACGTCTGTGAGCCGAGAGTGGAACTTAAATATCCAGAGGTAGTTGTGAACGAGAGGAGAACCGCAAAAAAAACAAAAAAAAAACACCAAAAAAGGACAAAAAAAAATTAAAAAATTAAAAACTCAACCAGAACCTATCAGGAAAAGGCCACCCGGGGCCGGGGAGAGGGGGCAATAGGGGCAGACCCCCCCCACCCCCCCCGGCATCGCTGCGGAGCCGCTCTCCCGCGTACAGTGCAATCGCCCAGGGGGGGGAATTTGGGGTGGGGGGGCACAGCCCGGGCCAGATCTGGGGGTGTTTTGGGGTTTTTTGTATTTTTTTTTTTTTTTTTTTTGCCTTTGCTGCCCCCCCCCCGCCCCATCCCTGCAGAGGACCCGGGGCAAAGCCGGTGCTGGGGGACGGCCGGCACCTGCTTTGGGGGGGTGAAATCGCTAAATTTGGGAGGGGGGGGGGACAGCAAAGGCTGCGGGTTTCCAGCCCCATTGGCACCCCAGTTAGTGGGGCCACCCCGAAACGTGGCGCCGGGGGGAGGGCTGAGCCCCCCAACCCCTTTTTCCCAGGCTGCGGGGCTGAGCCCCCCCCGGCCAGCGCTGCCGGTGGCTGGGGGGGGGAGCGGGGAGGAGGAAGAAGCCGGGGGGGCGCCTTTTGGGGTTTTTCCCCCCCGTCCCTCTCCCTCGGGTCCTGGGCCGGCAATGGGGGGGTCCCGCGGGGCGATGAGGTAGCGCCGGTTCGGGGGGGGGGTCACTGCTCCTCCTCGGACGACTCCTGGGAAATGTTCACCTCCTCCTCGTCCTGCTGCTGCAAGGCAAAGGGGGGGCGGTCGGCACCGTGGGGGGGGGGGGAACGGGTGGGGGTCCCTTTACAGGTGGGGAAACCGAGGCAGCGGCGCTCCCCTGCGTTTGGGGCCAGCCCTCGCTCCCCATATACACGAGGAGGAAACCAGGAGGAAACCCCGAGTAGGTTTGCACCAGGAGCAGCAGCGTGTTGCACGCCCGCTGCAGCGCTGGGGGGTGCCCCCTGGCCAGCAGTGGGATCGGGATCGGGATGGGATGGGATGATGGGATGAGATAAAATTGGGCAGGACGGGATGGGACGGGACAGGATGGGTTGGAATGAGACAGGGTGGGATGGGAGAGGACGAACTGGAATGGGATGGGACGGGATGGGATGGAAAGGGAAAGGATGGGACGGGATGGGATGGAATGGGATGGGACAGGATGATGGGATGAGATAAAATGGGACAGGATGGGACAGGACGGGATGGGTTGGAATGAGACAGGGTGGGATGGGAGAGGACGGGCTGGGATGGGATGGGACGGGATGGGACAGGACGGATGGAATGGGATGGGATGAAATGGGACAGGATGGACTGGAATGGGATGGGATGATGGGATTAAATGGGACGGGACGGGATGATGGGATGAGATAAAATGGGACGGGATGGGACAGGACAGGATGGAAAGGGAAAGGATGGGACAGGATGGGAGAGGACAGACAGAATGGGATGGGATGGAATAGGACGGGATGGACTGGAATGGGATGGGAGGGAGGGGACGGGGGGGGGCCGTGCAGCGCGGCCCCGCACGCGGCGGTGACTCAGGGCTGAGCGTGAGCGTGACTCAGCGCCGGCCCCCGCTTCCTCCGGCTTCATTCATAAAATCGCGGCCGGCGGCTGCCGGGGCTGGACGCGGCGTCCCCGGGATGGGGTCACTCCAACCCTGTCCAGTCCCCCCCCCCACTAAAATCCCGGTGCTGCGATGCCAGGGGATGCAGGACAGGCGGGGATGTGGCCAGGTTTTGCAAGCAATGCCCCCCCCACCCAGCCCTAATTTCCCCCCCCCCCCCCCCCGGTTTGGGTTTTTGCAGCCCCTCACGCTCCGCCCCTCGCCCTCAGCACCTCCCCCAGGAGAAATGAAAAGAGGGAAAAGGGGCAAAACCCCACAGCTCGTGGGGAGGGCTGCGTCCCGGGGTGGGGACGGGCAGGGAAATCGCTCCCAGCTCCCGGGGCGATGAGCGTGGGTGGCAGCGGGGTGGGGAAAAGGGGAAAAAAAGGAGGAAAAAAACAAAATAGGAACGTGCCGGGCGCTCACGCTGCAGGAATGCCACACACGGGTCTGGGGTCTGTCCCGTGCCAACCCCATCCCTGTGCCAACCCCATCCCCGTGCCATGCCCCATCCCCTTTTTCCCCTTTTTGCTCACCACTCGGCGCCCCTCCAGCCCCACAGCTCCGTGTTTAAGGGTCGCTGGGGGTCCCATGCAGTGAGCAGGGTGGTTGTAGTGTGCCCCCCCCCCCCCCTCCCCGGTGCCCAGCATCCTGCCAGGATTGCGCCCGTGAGGAAGAGGAGGAAGGGAAAAGCCCAACTCACCGATTTTTTGGGTCGGCCTCGAGGTTTTCTCCCTGGTGTGACTGCAGCTTTCTGAGCACACAGAGTTGGGAGGGGGGGGAAAAAAAAAAAAAAAAAAAAAAAACAGAAATTTGGGTCAGGCTGGGGCCGGGACGGTGCCACCCCCACTGCTGGGGCTTCCTCCCATCCTTCCTCCCTCGGCTGCCAAATTCATCACCCTGGTGGCATCCCCCGGGGCCGGCCCCAGGTACTGTGGGGGCTGCAGCCGAGCCCCCCCCCCCCGGCCCTGGTCCCAGCCCCGTGACTCACGGCGCGGTGCAGGAAATGAGTCGAGTTTTCAGAACAGGTTGGTGGCAGCGCGCACGCCCCCGGCTCTTCCTCCCCTCCCTCCCCTGGTGCCAGCGCCGGCAGCCGCCCCCTCCCCAGGGATGCGAGATCTGCCCCAAATTGTCATTGATTGAACCCAAAACGGTGCCGTGGGCGCTCCCGGCTACCTACCCTGCCTTTTGGGGTGGCCTTGTTTTTACTGCCCTTCGGCCGGCCGCGGGGTCTCTTGGGGGTCGGGGCTTCGCTGGGTTCCTGCTGGATGGAGAGCAGAGGGGGGGGACGCTGCGGAGGGGGGGTCCCCAGAGCAATTCCCCACGCTGCCGGGGTCCTGCTGGGCACAGCGGGGTGCTGCCAAACCCCCCCGGGGTGCTCCCGGCTCCAGCATCCCCTCCCTGCTCTGGGGCACGGCCGCATCCTGCGGGGTGCTGGGAGCACTGGGAGCACTGGGAGCACCAGTTCAGGCTCCGGTTGGGGTCCTTCAGGTCCTGCTGGTGCCCTTCAGCCACCCGTGGTGGCCGTGACCCATCCAGCCCCAGTGTTAATCCCCCGGCTTAGCGGGACGCTCCCCGCCAGCTCGCAATCCGGCTGCTCTGCAGCCTCGCTCCTCCTCATCCTCACCCCCCCCCCCCAGTTTTCTCCCCATTTCCCCGCTGGCCGTGCGTGGTTTAACCCCTATAATCCCACCGGCGGGGGGGAGGGGACCCCAAAAATCAGCTCGGCAGCTGGGTGGGGAATCATCAGATTTTGGTTTGGGGGGGGGGGGGGCGATGCACAAAGCCCACGAACCCCAGGGAGCTGCGTGGGGGGGGGGGCTCTGGCACCACAAAGGCCCCGGCAGCATCTTATCCCTCTGAGCAGCTTGTGCTAATAGGGCTTTAATTAGCCCGGCTGTAAAGGCAGGTTTGTTCGGTGGCAGCCTGGGGAGGAGCAACGGGAGGCCCCGGAGCCTTCCCCCTGCGCCTGCGGGGGTTTTAGGGGGGGGGGGGGGGGGTGGCACAGAGGGGGCTTGGCTGGGGCCCTCCCCGGGATTTGGGGTACCCAAGCACCCACCCGGTGCAGGGGGCGTTACCGGGGTTGAGCATCCCCACCCCGCAGGTGCCTGCGCCCCCCCTCCCATCCCCACAGCCACCCCATCCTCCCTCCCTGGGGACCCCCCCCCGAGCCCCCGCTGCCACCTCCCGGGGACGTCCCCTGCGTACCTGCGGCTTCTTCCTGGGCCGCCCCCGGCCCCTCTTTTCCGAGGCGTCCTTCTCCCCCTTGGAGGCCAGGGCCTGGCTGGACTTGGCGCCGGCTTCGCTCATCGTCCTTGGCGGCTGTGGCGGCGAGGAAGAGGAGGAGGAGGAGGAGGAAGAGCAGAAGGGAGGAAGGCCGGTCAGCGCTCACCCGCGCCGCGACCCAACGCCGCTCCCCGGCGGGAGGCGGGCGGGGGGGGGCCGCGGAAGTGACTCACGGGGCTGCGAGGGACGAGCGGAGCCCACGGAGCCTCCCCGGGGGTCACAGCCCCACAGCTGCCTGCAGGGGGGCTCAGGGTGGGCAGGGGGCTCGCCCCCCGCCGTGGGGTCGGGGTGGCCGGTGGGGGGTGAGGGATGGGGTGCCCCCGGTTTGGAGCTGCTGGAAGCCCCCCCAGGAGTTAAATACCAGCCCAAATGTGCAGCTCTGACCCGTCCTGCACGGAGAGGGGTCCGGCCGGCACCGGGGGGGGCTGCAGGGGTTCGGCAGGGTGAGGGGGGGGGGGGGAAGCAGGAGCATCACCAGGGGCCGTGCTGGGAGGAGACCCCCACCTCTAAAAGAGTCCCCCCCCCACTAGTTGGTAACTCAAAATTTTGAGCTCCAAATTTCAGCCGCACCGTGGCACCCGCCCTGTGCCAAACCATCCCCCCTGGCACCCATGGGTGCCTGACACCCACAGACCCCCGGCACCCACAGACCCCCGGCACCCACACGGGCACTGGGGGGGGGCTGCAGGAGCCCCTCGCCACCCCATGCACTGATGCAGGGGGTGAAGCCTCCGGGTGCTCCCCGCTCTCCCACCCCCAGGACCCCCCTTTGGGTGCTTCTCCGGGAGCCCGTGGGTGCCCAGCCCCTCCCTGGGGACCCCTCCCGGAGCACCCCCGTTCCCTGCCCATCCCCGGGGCTGGCTTTGAGGCGCAGCCCCCAAATCCTGTCGGGGTGCAGCCTCGCTCCCTTCCCTTCCCATGCCAGGAGCAATGGGATCGGGGCTGTGGGGCAGGGGCCCAGCCTCGCCCCGCGGCACAGAAACCCCGCTGAGTTAGCCAGGTGCCCCCACCGCCCCGGGAGGTTTTTGGGGAGCGGCGGCTCTGCCAGCCCTTCCCACGGGGCCCGACCCACGGAGCAATTCCCCCCCCAGCTCCCCTTCTGCCAAGAGGAGGAGAGCGGCTCCAGATTTAATCGGGAGCCCTTGAAATCCCAGACACGCTGCCGGCACCGGCAAGTTGGGACAGGACGAGGGGTGGTGGCACGGCCCCGGGGGCCCGCAGGGATCCCCGGGGGGGTCCGGGGGTGCCGGGGGAGCTGGGCTGGGTCTCGCTCACCCCCAGCATTTGGGGCACGCCGGGAAGGGCCCTGCCAAGCTCCCACATCCCTGCGGCTCCCACCTGGGCACCGCTGCGCCCAGAATGGGGGCTGCACCCCGCTCCGGCCACCCTGGCTGGATTTAGGGACACCGAGGGACACCAGGCTGTCCCCTCCCCGTGTGTGTGTCCCGGAGGGCTGTGTGGCTTTCCTGCCTGATGGGGAACATCCCGTGGAGGAGCGGGCTCCATCTTCCCCTCTCCACCCTGGTGCTTCCCGGGGGCGTAGGGAAAACCTGCTGGGCCGGAGCTGTGGGGCCGCCGCGCTCCACACCCTGCTCCCAGCCCAGGACGGGCTCGGGGCCGGGATCAGCCGGGTGCAGAGCAGGGACCCTGGCAGGAACGGGGCCGATCCCATCCCCTTGGGGTCCGATCTGCGTCCCCAAAGGGCTGCGGACCCCAGGAGGCTTTTCCTGGTGGGTTTCGTGCAGCCAAAGGCACCGGCCCTATAACAAGGCTTTAACCACCCCCAGCCTTTAGCAACTGCTTCCAGTTTGGGTAAACTTCAGCCAGGGGGCACGGCGCTGCTGCCCCCCCGCTGCTGGGGCTGCGGGAGGGACCCACGGGGGGCCCCGATCCCCATGGGGACCCCGACCCCACAGCAGTGTCTGGAGCCCCCACCACGCTGAGACCTTCCAGGCCCCTCTGAAAGTGACTCACGAGTGCAAAGCAACAACAAAAACCACCCGCAGATTATTTTTTTTAGGGGGGGGGAGACAGAAACCGTGCGTGCTGTCATGTAAACACCCCAAAAATATTACTCACAGCATCCCTGAGCACTTCAAGGAGCACTTAAAAAAATATATATATATATATATAAGGTTTAGGGAAGAAAATACTGGTGGGCTGAGAAGTATTTATCCTTTTTTTTTTTTTTTTTTTTTTTTCCCCTCTTTTTAGTCAATCTTTGGCAGAGGGAACGCAGCCCCCCGGCCGTGCCGTACCCACTCCTGGGGGTCCCTCAGCTGCCCTGCTCGGGGGTCCTGGCCCCATCGGGCAACCCCTGGTGGCCACGGTGCTGTGTGAGCGATGCGGGTGGGATATGGGGCTGCCCATGGTGCCACCCGTGGGTGCCACCCCGTGTCCCCGTCCCCATCGCTGCCGTCCCCGTCCCCACCTCGGAGCTCGGCCCCGCGCCTCTGAGTGGGATCGGAGGCAGCAGCTGGGTTGCCATGGAGGGAAGGAAGCAGCTGAGGGAGAGAGGGAAAAAAAAAAAACAAAAAAAAAAAACACACAAAAAAAACCCCTTTTCCCCTTTTCATGGCGGGGGGAACCACGAGCAGGGAGCTGCCGGGCTCCTGTGGGCTGGCGGGGAGAAATCCCGGCGGAGGGCACTCCTTAGGGTCAGGGGGTGCTGGGGGGGGGGAAAACCCCTTCCTCGGCCGTCCCCGTGGGTCGGGAGCCGCCGTGGGGGGGTGCTGCTGGCAGCCACCTCTTGCACAAGCCACGCTCGGCTTGCAAAAGCCACAACCTGCCCCCCCCGTGCAAACAGCCCCATAAATCCCCCGCGCCCGCCACCCACTCCCAGATTAAACAACCCAACCCGAAAAGGGGGGGGGGGGAAGAGAACCGAGGTGGTGTTGGCGGTGCCTCAGATCTGCCCCCTTCCCCCAAAAAAATCTCCTCACACCCAGGAAACCCAGCCCGGGGCTGGGGGGGGCACAAGTTGGGGAGCCTCGGGGATGGGGGCTTAGGGCCGAGGCTCCTCCGGTTGGGGGGGGGTGGGGGCTTCAAAGCAGCCCTCCCTTCCCCTTCCCCTTGCTATTAAGGGCAGACCACCCCCCTTCCTTCCTGGGCATGCATAATAAAAGGAAGTGATAAAAGAAAGGAAGGAGGGAGGTGGGGGAGAAAGAAAAGAGGCAGGAAGGGCAACAGCGCAGCTTTGTGAAGCCCCCCCCCCACCCCCCCCTCCCGCGGGCTGCAATAAAACCCCGGGCACAGCAGCGCCATTTCGGGCCCCCCCCTGCAGGCATGGGCTGGGGGGGTGCTTTTAGGGGCAGGGGGCGATTTGAGGAGTTTTAAGGGTAGGGGGCGGCTTTAGGGGGGGGGTTGAGCCCCCTCACTGCAACTTTGCAGCGACCTGCCCGAGTGTGTGCCCCCCCCTTGTCCCCCCCCAACGGGGCCTTGCCCGGCCCCAGGCACCTTGCGGCGACCCCACAAAATTTGCAGCGCCCCCCCACCCCCCCCACCATCCGCGCCGACCCCACACCATCGGCCGGGGCTCCACGTGCTCGGCGCCCACCCCCCAAAATTCGCAGCCCCCCCCCCCCCCCCCACGTGCTTTGCACCGACCCCACGTGCTTCGCGGCGACCCCAGGCGGTTTGCCCCGACCCCACACAACCCGCCGGGACCCCGCACGATTTGCACCGACCCCCCCCTAATTTGCACCGACCCCCCCCAATTTGCACGGCCCCCGCCCCACGCGCGCTGCAGGCCCCACGCACTTTGCAAGGTCCCGGCCCCACGCACCTTGCACCGACCCCAAAACCACACGGAGGGGACCCGGGGGGGGGTCCCAACCCCACCGAACCGACCCGGGGCTGCAGCCGGAGCCCCCCCCCAGGGCGTTGGGGGCCGTTGGAGCCCCCAAACCCCATAAATCGGAGGAAAAGTCCCCGCAGCCCGGCCCCCCCCCAGCTCATCCCGGCCCCGCCAGGTGCATCGCCCAATTAATCCCAGTAATTAATAACAACCAAAGGGGCACCCGCGAGCCCTTGCAAACACGGAGCGAACCTCGGGCCCCCCCAGCACCCCCTTGAACCCCCCAAATCCCCCCCCCCCGGAGCAGAAAGGAAAGAGGAAGGCCGGCACTCACAGTCAGCTTGGTCTCGGAGCTGGGTGCTTGGGGATTATTATTATTATTATTTTTTTTTTTGGTGGCTTTTTTTTTTTTTTTTCCTTTTAATTCTTTTTTTTTTTTCCTCCCTCTCCCGGCGTGGCTGTGTTGTGAGCGAGCGAAACCCCCCCTCCTGGCTGCTGCTGCTCGCAAATGCGGATCTGAAAGGAGAAGGCAAAGAGAGAGAGAGAGAGAGGAGAGAGGCTGCGACTCGCACACGCATCCACAGCACGGCCAGGCCCCCCCCCCAACCCCCCTTATTTATATAAATAATAATAATAAAATTAAAAAAAAAAAAAAAAAAAAAAAAAAAAAAGCGCTCCGGGAGGAAGGAAGCCGGGTCCAAATCATTTCACGGGGAGCCAGGGGGAGGAAAAAAAAAAAAAAAATAGGGAAAGGGGGGGGGGGAAAGAGGGGAAAAAAAATAAATAATAATATTAATGATAATAATAATAAAAAGGAGCGAACTCCGAGCCTTACTGGAGGGGATCCAGGTGCTAAAAATAGCAAAATCACCCTGGAAATTAAATAAGGGCAGCCGGGCAGAGGGGAGCTCCCAGCCCTTGCGGAGCGCCGGGAGGAGGAGCCGCCTGCATCACGGCCGGGGGGGGCGGGCGGCGGCGGGGCCGGGGCCGATGGGGCCGTTCAAAGGGCTGCGGTGGGGCCGAGCCCCCCCCACGGGTCTTGCTGACCCCCCCCCAGGGCCGTGCTGACCCCCCCCCGGGCGGTGGTGGCTCCCCCCGGGCAGCCGGGATGGATGGAGACCCCCCCCCAAAAAAAGATCCCCAGTTTGTGGGGTGCCCAGTGCCCAGTTTGGGGGTTCCCGGTTTAAGGGTGTGTGTCCCGGGTGGGGGGTGGGGGGGGGCACACTCTGCTTTGTGCCCCCCAGGGCGGTTTGGGGGTTTTGGGGTGGCGCCGAGGGGTTTTGGTGGCGCTTTGGGGTTGAGCGCCGGGGCTCTCTGCTGGGTGAAGCGCGGTGCTTTTATTTGCTGTTAACCCCCCCCCATTAAAAAAAAAAAAAATCCTCTGATCCCCTTCTGGAGGCACCCGGCAGCAGGTGCTCCGTCCCCAGGGAGGGGTGGAAGCGCCGTGTTTCAGATTTCAGCGCGGAAATGTTGGAAGAATAGGATTGGGGGCGGAGGGGTGAGCGTGGCTGGGCTGGGGGGGGGCTGGCGAGCGGCCCCGAGGTCTGGGAAGGTTTTGGGGCTTGGTTCTGCCCCGGGGGGGGCTTTGTTCTGAATCCGTGCTGTCTGCTTTGGGGTGCCTTAGGGCAGTGTGGAATGGGAGCCACATCAGCTCTCCGGGTCTGCCAGGACCCTAAAAAACAGCCCCCGGCTGTGCCAAGCATCTGGGGGCTCGTGGTGGGTTTTGGGGGAATACAGGGAAATGCAGAGCTCCCAGCCATGAGGGTCTGCCGAATTCCCCCAAACTCCTGCAGAAACCCCAATGGTGAATTTCGTGGGAAGTCTGACTTGGGTGCTTTGACCCCCCCTGCCTCAAAGGGTTGAAATCTGGTGTTAGGAGCTGAACCTTAGGCTGTATGGTGCTGAATTCAATTTTCAGGCAGGTTTTTGTTTTAAAAAAATCATCCTTAACAACGTGAAGCCCGGCAGCGTTGGTGTCTGCGTGCGCAAAACTTCGGCGGGGCAGGTTTGCGACATGGCAAGAACCAAACCCAGCTGCGCAAGGCTCGTGGCACCTCTTGCTAAACGCTGCTTGGATTTAACCCCCCCTGCAAACTCCCTTGGCGCCTCCTGTCTGAAACACAACCAAAGCCGTGTCCCTTTCTGAAAAATGAATGCAAAGGAGGGGAAAAAAGCCCTGCGAGGAGCCGACCCCTTTCCAAATGCCTGCCAGCGGAGGCATTGCCCCGTTTGCAGCGCTGCATTTTGGGGCTGAGCCCGGCTGCAGCTCCCTGAGATGGCGACCGCGCTGCGTCCCCTCCAGCCGAGGGCCTTGCACCCAGGTAAGGTGCTGCTTGCAAGCCCCACACATTATTATTTTTTTTTGGCTAAAATCAGCATTCCCCTTTAGCAGGCGGCCCCAGCCAAGCACCGTGTGCTGCGGTGCCTTCGGCTGCCCCAAACCTGCCCATGGGCATGCTCGGGCTTCCCCTCTTTGCTGCGAGCCCGGCGAGGAATTTGGTTTCTGTCCCTGGCTGAGGACTGCTGTTATTAATATCCCTCCCTCGTTATTTCTTCTGCGCCGCCGGTGAGTGGCTGTAACCGGAGAGCAGTGCCGGGAGGGGGGCGCGAACAACCGAGGCTATCGGTTCTCGGTCCCCGAAACTTTTGGCGATTTCTTGCTCACCCCTGGGGAGGGCTCTGGGGGCTGCCTTCGCGGTGGTTTTGCACCCAGGGGCTGCTCTGCGTGGGTCGCTCGGTGTTCGAAGCAAAGCCGCGGCCGTCTCCAAAAAATCCCCGGCCAGGTGCGCCCCGCAGCCGGGAGCGGTGCTGGGATGGGAAGCTGCGTGCAGCGGGGGGAAATTGGGAAGTGGCTTTTTTTAGGGGTAAAAGGGGGATTTTTTTTGTTGTTCTGAGCAAGTTTGGGAGGACAGAGGGTGGCTTGCTGGGGGGAGGGTTGTGGGAGGAAGGGAAGTGGCCTGGCAGCGCACCACGGAGAGCTCTGCGCAAATGGTGACCCGCGGGGGGGACGTGGGGCAGTGCCCCCTGCCCCGAGCTCCCCGTGCTGAAAGGAGGGGGGCTGAGCGCTGGGGGGGCTGCTCCGAGCTGGGCAGAGCCGCACCTGGCTGTTGCCATCCTGCCGCTTGTTTTCACTTTTGTTTCTGCAGCTTTCCAGGCTGAAAGCCAGAAGAGACGCTGCCGCCGAGGCGGGGTTTGGGAGCGGGACCGGCGAGGTTTGTGTTGTGCAGTTTGCAAAAACATTGCAAAATGCAAAAAATTCTGCAATTCAACATGCAAAAATCTGTAAAAAAAAAACCGCTCAACAATTCCGCAGTGAGCCCAGAAAGCAAAAACAGCTGGAAGTGGTGCTACCAGAAGGGGGTTTTTCTCCCCCTCCTGGGTGAGCGCAGTGCGGGGGCTCCACGTGCGCCGTGCCGGGCTGGGGTGAGCAACCCCAAATAACCCAGGTGAGCCAACCGAGCTGGGAGACCCCTTGGGACAAGGGTGGGGGTGTCCCCAGCCTGGTCCTTGTCACCCCGTCACGGGTTTGGGATGGGCACTGTGGGAGGGGATGGGGCCTTTGTTTCCCCTCCGGGCTTTGTTCCCTGTTGATCAGATCCCCCATGTGGCCGAGCGGCCCTGTACCCACTGAGGCCGGCTGTAATTTGTTCAAACCTCTCCTTCCTCCTCGCCCTCCGGGGCAGGTTTATCCCTGAGTTCCTGGAACTTCAATCTGGGGACAAATTCCTGCAGCACCCGATAAGTTATAGGCTCGGTGCTTCTGCTTTTGAGAGTCCTGAGCGTGCAGGATGCGGGGACGTCTGCACCATGCGGGGCAGGCAGGGGACACGTGTGCATTGCTGATTATCCCGATTTTTCTAGCCAATATTTCCAGGGAAATAATCATTACCTGCTTCTTCACTGCACTGATCGCCTGCTATCGCCCTGCCTTGGAGGCACAGTGTCCCCTTGTCCCATGCCCACCCTGTCCCAGGAAGTGCCACCAAGCCCCGCAAAGCCGTGCTGGGGATTTGGGTGCCTAATTCCCCCTAATTTCCCTGGGAAAAGGGAATCCAGATCCTCTAAGGCAGCTCTGGAAAAATATCCCAGCCCAGGTCGCTGGGTAATTGGAAGGCTACCGGAATAATTATTTGTCACCTCAAAAGCCCTCTTGAACAAGTTTAATTAATCCTCGTGGTCCTGGGCCTTGTGGAAACGGGTGTGATTGTCCTCATGGCACCCAAACGTGTGGATCAGAGGGTCCGGGATTTTGGGGGGCTGTGTCCAGCACCAAAGGGCTCCTCTCTCCTGCGGTGGTGCCCGGCTGCGGGGTGTGGGGTGCTGCGGGGTCCTTCATGGGGTGGGGGGCTCAGCATCGCTGCTCGCTGGGACTTTTTTGGCTGGGGGGGTCCTCTGCTGCACCCCGAGCGCTGAGCATCCCCCTGCACCGTCCTGTTCTGGTGCTACGAGAGGCAGCCCCCCTCCTGTGCCTGCGGGGACCTCGCGTTTCCAGCTGGTTTTACCCCAAAGCTGCTCGAGCAGCGGTGGCTGCACAAAGAAGGGCCAAGGTAATTAACCACCTTCGTTAATTCTTGCTCAGGGTGATAAGGTGAGCGTCACGCCGGCCCTGACTTTCTCAAGGCACTGCGGGGCCTGAACTCTTCCTCCCCATGGAGCTCCTGTCCCAGGAGGGCATCACCGGGGCACAGCGTCCTCACCCTCCTGGGGTGACTTCTCCATGTCCTGAAGAGCTCCCAGCGGATAAGAAACATTTCTCCTCCCTCCACAAAGCAGAGGAGCTTGCCCAGACCCTTTGGGGGAGCACCAGGACCGGAGACCCCCAAATCTGATACCCAAGTGAGAAACCTTCCCCTGCCTGCACCGTGGAAAGGCAGCGCCATCACCTCGGAGCTTCCTCGCGAATCCCTGCTGCAATATTTATGACCGGCTGCAATCAATAATTAACCCCTGGGAGGGAAAGGGCCTGAGCGCTGGGGTGAAGGGTGCTGTGGGTGTGCTCGAGGTCTATGCCCAGCCCAGGCTGGGGCAAGGTTGGAAGGAAAGGAAGGGAAAATCCTGAAGCAGCCCTCCAGCGCCAAGGGGCTGGGCTGACGGAGAGCACACGTGCCCTTTGTGCCTGGAAGGAAGGGGCCAAATCTGTCAGGTGCTGCCTTGTTTTGAAAGCTCTGTTGGGAAGCCTACCCTGGGGACGGCTCGGTGAGGAGTCACGGGGTTCCCTGCAGCACTCGCTGCCTTTTTGTGCTTGCAACCGGCTGGCGATGGGGCTGGATCCCTGCCTGTGGGAGTGGGGTGGTGAGGAGAGGGTCTGCTCGGAGGGGTCCCTGCCCCCGGGCTGGGGGCTGCCTGCCCGTGTGGTCTGCACAGCCCCCTCAGTGTAAATGTGCACAGAACCCCCTAAAACATGGATCGGGGTGAGGCACAGGAGGTGTGTGTTGTGGGACGGGCTGGTGGGGACAGAGAGTGGCTCCTGCTCACGTGGGGATGTGCGGCTGTGGCCAGGGTGTGTGGGTGCGCACCCCAAACTGCTGGCACCCTCTGGGGACACATCCCAGGCTGGCACCCATGCTTGGCTGCAGCCGGCTTCAGTTTAACCTGAGTGGCCCAGCGGGTGCCACCCCACTGTCCCCATCCCTTGGGATGGCGAGGGCACATTTTGGGTATTTCGGACAGGGCAGGGAGCAGGGCAGGGAGCTGCTCCAGCTCGGTGCGCTTGGACAACCGGAGAGCCCCTCGGTGGAGCCACCCCGGGGGGGCTCCTGCACCCCGTTGGCTGCCCAGCGCCCCACAGGCAGGTGCCCCACGCTCTTTGGCCACCGGCCGTGCCACCTTGGTGGCCTGGGGTCGGGTGGGGGGGCTGCTCCTTTCGGGCCCCTGGCGGGGCTGTGGGAAGCGCTGGGGCTGCGCCATGGCTGGGGGAGCCCCGCGGCGCACAATGGCCTTTTGTCCGCGCGCTGCCCGGGAACACGCCGCCATCCCAGCTTCCCAGTAACATGAAACCTCCTCCGGGCTGCCTGCTGAGCACAAAGCCCAGCGCTGGGTTGAGGGGGGGGCTGCCTTGGCCCCTTCCCAGCTCGCCCCGCGCTTCGGAGCCGTGTCCCGAGCGTGCTGGGGCTCAGGTGTGCGTGCGGCCACCGGCCCAGCCGGGGTCCTGCCTCGCCTCGCTCCTGCCCCAAAGGGTTGGTGTAAATCAGGGACACCGGGAGCTGAGCCCCGTGTCACCCCCTGCCCACGGCAGCATCCTCGCAGGGACACGGCCCTCGGCCATCAGTGGGGGCCCCGGCATCTCCTTCACCCCCCAGCCCCTCATCTGCGGGCTGAGAGCTCCCCAACACCGCGCTCCGACCCTCCCCGGGGGCACCAGGGTTTGTGGTGGGTGAGGAAATACCTGCACCCCCCCCCTCCAGCCCCCAAATCCCTCTCCCCCCACAGCCCCAGGGCTGGGGACTAACAAAGCCTTGTAAAAAAAAAAAAAGCCAGGGAGGAAATGCTGTAAATCATTAACGGGGGAACGCAGGAGGAGAATGCGAGGGGTCATTAATTGAGGGCTTGCTGTCTGGCTCGCACGGGGGGGGGGGGCTGCCGGCCTTATTTTTTTTAATCAAGGTATTTTATTGCAAGTGGCACGGCCAAACTAAACAGGGCAGCAGAGAAGCCAGCAGCAGCATCCTAGGGGGAGATCAGGGGCAACGTGGGAGGTGCTGCAAGGGGTGGGGGACCCTGGTGCAGGGGGCTGCAGGGGGCTGGAGGATGTGCAGGGTGGCACTCGGAGCAAGGGACAGGGGACGCTTTTTTCCTGCTCTTCAGCAGGGCTGGCTCCTCCATCCCTGGGTTATCTTGAGTCCCCACAGGCACTGTGGGGTGCAGAAGGGCTCCCCCCCCGCTCCCCAGCCTGCCCCAAGTGGAAAAGCCACCTGGAGCTGTCCCCAGGGACACCCAGATTTTGGGGCCAGCACCACAGGGAGCTCAGGGACAGGACACCCAGCCCAGGGCACGGGCTCGGGGCCACTTTTCCTTCCCTGTGGGTTTTTTCTCTCTGCGTTCCCCTGGGCGAGGACACCCCCGGCGCTGTCCCCACCACGAGCACACCGATGGCTTCTCCTGGTGCGCTCGCTGCCCGTGACCCCGAGCCCACTGTGACCAAGGGGGTCACAGTGCTGGGGTGGGGGGGGCTGCTCCTTGCCGGGGCTCCCCGTGAGCATCCTGCCCAGCCAAATCCCTCGACGCTTTCCCTTTTACTCAGCTCCGGTTGGAAAAGCACCAGGGGCCGGGGGACTTCCCTGGGTGCCCGTGACTCAGGTGCTGCTCACGCCTGACTCAGCCGCTGGCGGCGGCCCCGCTGCGGGGGCTCGGGGTGGCCACGGAGGCTGAAGGAGGAGGAGGAGGAGGAGGAGGAGGCGATGCTGGAGGTGATGGAGCAGGGACGGAGCCGAGCTGGCTTCGGGTGTGAGCCGGAGCAGCCCCGCTTTTGGGTTCCGTGCCTCGTGGGCCCCTTTTTTTGGGTGCCTTGCAGGGAGGTGGGTGGCGGTGGGTGGTGGGTTTGGCACCGGCTGGGACCAAAAATGAGGTGAAACGTGGCAAGGCCGGGTGGGACGAGGCGTCCTGCACCAACCCAGCCGGTGCCCCCAGCACCAGAGGGCAGGATGCGGCCCCCCCAGGGGCAGCTTTTTTTTTTTTTTGGGGGGGGGAGGCTGGGGGTGGCACGGATCCTGGCGACCCTGGCTGCGCCCCCGAGGCTGGGGCCGGTGGCACCGCGGATCCCTGCTGCCATCTAACGGGGACAGGAGAGCCCGCAGCCGGGCTGGGGCTTTGTAGGGCGGGGGGGGGGGGGGGGAAACTGAGGCACGTAGGGGGCTGGGGTGGGGGGGTGGGGGAGCCCAGGTGCCCCCTTTAAAAGCAGGGTGGGCAGGAGCTGGCCCTGCCCTATGGGGCTCTGTGGGGTCGGGGTGAGGCTCAGCACCCTGCGGGGGGAGCGGGATGGTGCTGGGCTGGGGGGGAGCTGCTGGGGGGGGGGGGCTTTTGGCTGGGTCCCCTTGGCCCCAGCTCCCCCCAGGCACAGGGAAGGATTGGGGGGGGGGTGGTGGTGGCGATGCTGCGGTGCCTGGGGCTGAGCCATATGGGTGCCCTGATTTTTTTGCCTTTTTGCCCCCCCCCATGGAGCGTGTCCCCCCCCAGCAGGGGACACCCCAGGCACGTGGCGTGTCCCTGACCCCGTCCCAAGGGAGACGTGACACCCAGCGGGGCCAGGGGATTAGGGCCGGCTATAACGGGGCCGGGTGGGCACTGCCTGTTCCCAGCTCCAGTTACACCTCCGGGGGGGGGGCTCAGCTTTCAACCAGCACAGACACACGAGCAGGGGGACGAGGGGGGGAGAGCTGAGGGGCTGGGGGGGGGCTCTGCAAGGCCGCAAGCTGCAGTGGGGCTGAGCATCGCACCCCTCAGTGCCCCCAAACTGGGGAGCGGGTCACCGGGGGGGTCCCCGCACTGTTGTGGTCCCCCCCATCCATCACCCGAGCGGCTCGGTGGGGGTGTGCGAGGCTGTCAGCCGCCTTCCTCGCCGGCTCGGGGGGGGTGATTAATTGCTTGCTTAGCAACTACTAATCAGGATGGAGGTGCTGGAGCCCGACGAGGCGTCCCCTCGGAGGGGAGCGTCACGACGGCGCGGGCTGGGGGGCGGCTCGGCGTGACTTGGAGCAGGGCGAGGGAAGAGATTTTTTTCCTGCCCCGATGCCCCCAGAGCCCCTCTTTTGGGGGAGAAAGGAGCCCGAAACGATGTGGCCGTGGGCCGGCAGCTGAATGTTGTCCTTAAATAAAAGCACAGATTCGGGGGGTACCTGGAGGTCCCTGCTGCGCTTGGGTAGAGCGCGTGCAGCCCGTGGGCTGGGAGCGGGGGATTTTCCCCAGGGATTTTGGGAAGGCTCCTGGTTGGGAGTGCTGGAGGAGCTGGCTCATGTCCCCGCTGCCTGTGGGTGACCCTTGTGGGGGATATCCGTGCCCCCACGCTGTGTGGCGGGGCAGGGGGAGCTGCTCCCCATCCCCAGAGCAGCTGGGTGCCAGGCAGCAGGCAACCCCAAATCCCTTCCTCCCTTTCTCACAAGGCTGGATCCGTCCCGCTGCACGGCTGCAGTGAGGGCGGCAGCCACAGGAAGGCACTGGTGGCTTTTGCTGGAAATTTGGGGCTGCGAGATGCCGGGTCCAGATCTGGGACCGATGCGCTGGTGCGGGGAGCGTGGCTGCGGGATGCGGTGTGCAGCCCCCTGGGGGGGAGCACCTGGGGGATGGGGGTGACAGGGGGGGTTTTGGTAGTGATGCCTGCTCCGGGAGGGGGCTCTGGGCTGGGTCCCCCCAGGCTGGGTGGTGGCACCAGGTCCCTGGGGGTAGGGAGCCCAGCCTGGGCTGGCAGCGCTCCTGCAGAAGCCACCCGAAACCACCTCGGGACCTGGCCAAGGCTGAATCGATCCCGGGCGCGCAGATTTCCCCGGATCCATTTTCACCGCTCAGCAGAGACCCAAGCGCTGTGCCGAGCCCCCTCCCCTGCTGCTCACCAGCCCCCTCCTCTCTCCCCACCACCGAAATGCCTCGCAGCAGGGCCCAGCACCCAGCATCACCCCCCAGGGGTGGGGGGGGCTTTTCGGGACCCTGCTACAACCAATGCATTGGGGACTCCCCCCCAGGCCCCCTTATTGGGGTGCACAGAGCTGCAGTGCCTCAGCTGGGGGGCTGGAGGGTGAGGGCTGGCTGATGGAGGCAGGCTTCGTGTTCAGGCTTTTATTTTTTTTTATTATTTTTTATGATTATTAATTGGCTTACGATGTGGGGAACCGTGAAATCTGGGCCATGTTTTATTATAGCTCGTATCACGCTGGACAAGATGGGATTAATTAAACGCGTGCTGCTGCTCGAGCGTGGGCTTGTCCCCGGGCGGCGGTGGTTAACGCGCCCTGGGCCACCGACTGGGGGGGCAAGGGGGGGCTCTGCTTCTTGTCCTGTCCCTGTGTGCCCTGGTGTACCTGGTGGTGTCCCCTCCCTGCCCCTAGGGCTGGCACTGCTGGGCACATCTGGGTGCCAGGACATCTGGGTGCCAGGACGTCTCGGGGCACCCCCCCGAGCAAGGGCTTGATTTATTGCCTGGGGATGGATTGGGTCCGAAGGGTGATTTTTATTTGTGTGTTCATTTTCAGAGCCACGTTGGAACAGTCTGCCTGTAGGAAGCTCTTCTCTCCGCCTCGAAAGCATCCTCGGCTGATGCTGCTGTCCCTAAACTTAGAGGCGCAGCGCTGACGAGCTCCCTGCGAGGGCTGCAACTTCAGCAAAGCACCACGGAAAGAAGGAAAAGGCTGCTGGGGGGAGCCGCTGCTGCCTGAAAGCTGGAGGGATGCTGAGCTGTGAGCGGGTCCTGGGCTGGGGCAGGGGGCCCACGCTGCCCCAAAATGTTCCTTGGAGGTGGGTTCCTCCAGGGCTGCCTGCTTTGGGGGATGCACCTGGCCGGGCTGCTCCGTCCCCGGGACCTGGTGGTGCTGCCAGGGCTGGGAAAGTGAAAAAGCCAGCAGCAATAAAACTTCAATTTAAGTTTTCCCAATAAAACTGGGAAGCTGCCCATGTGGGATGAAGGAGGGCAGTCGTGGCCAGGCCCCTGCCCTGCTCGCCCCTGTGGAGCATCACCAAATTCCCCCAGCCCCAAGCCCGCATCCTGCCCCGTGCTGTCCCCGGACGCACTGGGGTGACCCCGGGACACCTCGCATTGCCTCAGAGAAACTGCAGGTTTTTTATTATAAAAAATACAATAGTGTGTTTAAATTAAAAGCACGTTTAACTATTAACACGGCACACGGCAGCACCTAACAGATGGCTTTTCAAACGCAGCTGAGGGGCTGCCCAGTGGGGACCTGTGCTGGGGTTTCGTTGCGCATCCCTTTCCTTGTGGTGCTCGCCTGTCCCCATGCGTCTTCCACCCCGTTGTGCCCCTACAGCAACTTCCCCACTGAAGCCACCCTTAGGGCTGTGCCATCCCCTCTGGGTCCCGCTAGGAAAGTCCCGTGGGGCTGGGACTGCTGCTTGTTGTCAAATAATGCTGGTGGAGGCACTACAGCGATGCTCCAAGCCCCGGGGGATGGATGCCTCTGCTTTCCTTCAATGTTGTGCAGCTGAACGGGGCTGGGGCTCCTCCAAAAGCAGATTTCTTGCACGGGGTGGGACACGATGCCCCGATACCTCCCCAGTGCAGCCCCTCTCGTTGCAGCACCCGATTGAGGAGCGATGTAATTACTGCAAAGGCAAATCCGTGCCGGCCCTGCCTGCTTGGTCGCGCTCCAAGGAAGGCAGCGTTTCCTTGCAAAGTACGGGGCCATGAATATTTCATGCCTGAGGAGGATATTTCTTTCAGGAGGATGTCGCATGAATTATGGAGGAGCTGGGAGGAGCAGGCGGGCGCTATTTTGGCAGGGCCAGCTCCCACAGAGGGGCTCGGTGCTGCCGTGGTGCTGCCCTGGTGCCGGGGGTCCCGAGTGGCAGAGGGGGGCTCGGGGCAAGGCTGCCCTCATGGGGAGGTGCAGCCCTGTCCTGATGCAGGGCTCTTCGCTTCCAAGCAGGTTGGTGCCTGCGTAGTGAACGGGGAAGCTCTGCACGAGGTTGGGTTTGGGAAGAGCATCGCAGCCGATGGCTTGGGGACCCTTGGGAGAGGCACCAGGGCTCCCCAGGTAGCTGGAGGGGAGCAGCACGGCAGTCGCAGCCCTTCCCTGCTCCACGCAGCCCTCCTGGCTCTTCCTCATCTCCTGTGCGTCCTCACGACTGGCTGCGGGCTCAGGATGCTGCTGCTCAGCACCGGCTCCCCCCAGCACCCTGCGCCTCTCCCAGCGCAATGTGCTGCTCCCGCTCTGCCCCATCCCCACGGGTGTCCTGCTGCCTGTCTGCTCCGGCAGGGCTGGGGGGAATTAACTCTGCACCACCAGAGGCTTTCGTGTTCGTTAAAACATAAAGATTTTCCTCTAATTGTCCTGTTGGTGCAGGGGAAGTATGTGCTGTCTGGCCGTCACAGTTAATTTTACCACCAAATGTGCTCTCTCCTTCTTCTGGCTCCTTTTTTTTTTTTCTTTCTTTTTTTTTCTTTAAAGAGAGATTCCAGCTGCCCACAGGAACAGTAGGTGGAAAAAACCCTCCCGCATCCACGTGGAAGCCCAAGCAGAGCTGAGCTCCCCTTTTTTTGGGAACCTCCCCAGGCCTGGGGAATGGTGCTGGCCTCCCGGGATGTGGCATACCGGGTCCGCAGATGCCCAGTGCCAAGCCGGGCTCTTGCTGCCAGATGAAACTCCTAAAAATAAGATGGGAATAAAAGCCCCCGCTCGCTGCCACCGGCTCTGCTTTAACTGCAGATTAAAGTGGTTTCTGCTTCGTGCAATGGCCCAAAATAGGCGGCAGCGCTAATGACATTAGTGCTGCTGGCTTGTTAGGCAGCTCCGCGGCTTGGGTCCTGCTCCGGGTCCCTCTGGGGCTTGATCCTTGCTGGCCTCGTGCCTTCGGAGCAGGACGGCAGCTTCGGCTCCCAGCTACAGCCAGGAGGGAAGAGAGGGGCCGGGAGGGTCATTTGTGGCGTGGCTTTTCTTGTTTTTCTATCATTTAGACCCAAAATTTGGAGTAACCGCCTACCCAAACCAGCCCCGGCCACATCACTGGGTCTGAGCTGAGCGAACTCTCGCCCTCTGACAAAGAGTCCTCCAAAACCAATAAATCCACCACAACTATTAGTTTTATTTTATTTACTTTATTTTATTTTTAAGGACTCTTTAAGGGGTGTTAGCACTGGGCGAGGACTGGCCGGGTGTCAGCGGGGAGGCAGCGGCAGCGTGCTGCGGGCGCTTGCTGTCGCTCAGCGTTAGCTGGGGAAGCGTCAAAGCCACCACTGCTGCGTGGCCCCGTGCTCACGGCGCAGAAAACCTCGTTCCTCTAAAAAAATCCCTTCTTTCTTTTCCCTTCTGGCTTTCTAAGGAGGGTGGGAGCAACCTGGGGAGGCAGGGGGGTGAGAGCTGGGTCCGCTTGCCATTGTTCTTTGCATTTGGGAACGTGTTCAGCCTCTGATACTGTTAGGAAGGGGGGTAAAAAAAAATAAAAATCAATGTGTTTTGTCCAAGTGTTAGCCTGGGCAGACACGGACAGACCTGGAACCTTGTTTGGAGCATCGCAGCCCATCTTGTGCTGGCGTCGGGTAAAATAACCCGGTGCCTTTTGTGCCACCGAGCGCTCAGCTCACGCAGGTTGGCAGCTGGGTTTTGAGGGATCCCCAGCAACCTGGGCAGCATCTCCTCTTGTCCTTGCCTGTGAGCCATCGTTGTGGCTGGGATGGGACCGATTCACCCAATTTGGCTTCCTTCCTGCTCTCCTGGGCACGTGTGTGGGGTTCAAGCCGTGCTCCCAGACCCCATTCCCCTTCCCAGCGCGGCTGTGCCAGGGCAGCAGCCACAAGAGGGAAGCAAAACATCGCTCAAAGGCTGGAGCCAGCTGAAAGCTGCTGGGTGGGGGTGGAAAAGGAAAAGGGGCATTTATGGGTTATGGCTTTGGTCCCCGGGCAGTGCTCGGTGTGCCGGGCATGGCCTGGCTGGGCACACCGCGTGGGCGCAGGTTTTGGGGTGAGCGCGGAGCGCATGGGGGGCGGCTGATGGCAGAGACAAAGTGTTGCAAAGCGTGGGATGAAACCTCAGCACAATCCCTGCCCTGCACGCTGGATTCGTGGGCTCATTCCTATCGGGAATTCAGCTTTGTTCCTTCACTGAGCCAAACTCGGTGCTGCTGGAGCCTCTGGTGCCTGCCGCTGGTGCAGCCCCTGCGATGCCCCAGGGTGTTTTTGCTGCTGTCTGAGCCCAGAGGTGCACCGAGCTGTGCCGGCCTCTGCCCAGCACCTCGGGGTGCTCAGTGGGGTGCAGGGTGGCTCTGCTGGGTGCTGCTGGCTCTGGTTTTGTTGGCTCTCCTGCCATTAGGTGGGAGTGTTGCAGAAGAAAAGAGCGCGGGTGCTTCCATCGCTGGGTTGGGAGCGCAGCTCCAGCACCGCTGTGCCGTGAAACCCAGGCACCGTTCCTTTGTCCTCCTTCACTATGGGGACAAAGAGGCACAAGGAGGGATTTTTTTAGGCTGAATGTGTGCAGGAGAGAGGAATAAACCCCAAGAAGTGGCTCTAGCATTGCAGCTGGAGGGGGTTTGGCCAGGGATGGGCATCGCTGCCAAGCAGCGGAGCTTGCTGTGGCCCTCGGCTGCTCGCAGAGGAGCAGGTTTGGGACCCCCAGGCTCACCCCGTCCCCTCAGTTCTGGCATGGGGGGCTTGGGGAGAAGCCCACGAGCCTAGGGAGGTCCCCTCCTCAGTGGTCTCCAGCAAAGAGGCAGGCTGGGGCCTCAAGCAGCATTTTCCTGGGGGTCCTGCATCGGCTGGGCAGGACGCGGGCTCCAGGGTTCTGGAAAACTGCTGGAGGGGGCTTGGAGCCCCCCAAAATGGGGAGGTTGTTGGGCTGGGGGGGCTGCCAGGGGGCTGGCACAGCCGCAGCAGCCTTCCTCGCGAGGAGGAGGGGTTGTGGCTCACAGCCTGCAGACGAATCATCCCTCTTTCATTGCTAATTCCTCCCCGCAAGCCCGGATGGGCTGCCTTTTTTCTCCCCCCACCCCTCCCATTTCTTTAAAATGCAACTCTTTCCATCAAAATCTGGTTAGTCATGAAGCGTATAATGAGTTTTATATATATTTAAAATGGTCTGACATTCGGCATCCCATTATCCCCACTCCTCGAGAGAAACATGGACTCGATGTGTGAGTGTTGATCCAATAAGAGCGCAGTCAGTACCATTTTCGCTCTCTGAAATATCCATATCTATTACCCATATTCATGTGCTGTTTGTGTGTAGGAGTCTCTTTCTTGTGGAAAGAAATCCAAGGCTGTTTCTTTTTTTTTATTTTTTTTTTCCTCGGGCCTATAATTTATGTATTTTTTGGGCACGCTGAATTATTTTGCTTGTTTTTGTTTTGCAATTTTTTTTTCCCCTCCTTTCTTCAGTAAATCACAGCTCAGCCTCTAATTACCCAGCGCAGGAAAGCTTCAACGTCTCTTTTGCGAGTGGTTTTTGTGCCTTCAGCTGGCAAACAGCCGCGAGGGGCTGCGGGGGTGAGCCCGGGGTGCCCCGCTGGGCGCAGGCCCCGTGGTTGCTGAAATCCATCCCGAGAGCCTGCGAACTTCCAGCGGAGACTTTTCCGGCTCTCTGTCCTCGCTCTGAGGTTCATCGCTGCCTGACGTCAGTGAAAACCTTCCTTTTGCTGAAAAAAAAAAATCAACAAAAAAAACAACAAAGCAAAAACCCAACAATCGCCTCCCCAGGGAGCAGGACAAAAGTGTCAGCGTGTTCTTCTGTGTTTCTTTCCCTCTGAAATCTTTCTCCTCCTCCTCTTCTTTTCTCACAGATCGGACTTTGGCTTCCTCCTGCGTCACCAGCACCGCCGGGGAGCCCTTGCCCTGCCTGCAGCCCTCCCTCTCTGCTCCTCCTGGCCACGTTTCCCCCAGGGACCATTGGTGACACCCAAAAAGCATCCCCGGCTCCCCGTCCCACCCTGCAAACCCATTTTTCTTTAAATCCACAGGAAAACAGCTCTTGCTGGGACTTCTGCTTTTTAATTGTGGAGATATTACAGCTAATTGCGGTTCTATTAATATTTCACTTTGAATTAAAGATTTATTCTCCCCACCCTCCCAACCAGCGGGGAACGAAGCCCAAGGCAGCGCTGGGAGCGCACAGCTCACGGACAGCAGGGGCCGGGCGCGCTTCCCGTGCCTGCGCCTCCTTGGCCTGAGTGACCCACGGAGAGGAAGGAGGAGGAGGTGGCTCGGCCATAAATTATTCAGGCACTTCTGCAGAGCCGAGCCGGTGAGTCCAGTCCATAAGATGCGGTTTCGTGTTTTCTCCTATCTTGGAAAAATAAAATAAAGCTCGCAAGCAGCGCGTCTCTCCCCGGTTGCGCCCGGTGATGCTGGCGGTGGACGCGGTGACCTTCCCGGCTGGAGGGGAGCCAGGCTGGCTGCTGCTCGGGCAGGGGCTGTCCTCCTGCTCCGCTGCCTGCAGGCTGCTGGGGAGAAGGGGAAGCATCGGCTGCTGGCCCCAATCCTGCCCCGAGCTCCTGGGGCTGGGGATGTGCTCCTGTCCCTGCTGTGCCGTGGGGTCAGCGCGTGCCAGAGCCCTGGAGGGTCAGGGTAAGGGTGCTGGTGCTGGCGGAGGTGCTGGAGCTCTTTGCAGCCCCTGGATGGAGGTGAGTGCGGAGCTGGGGCTGGGGGGTGTTCCTCCAACCCTTCCAGGACGGGACAGGCAGCGACTTGTTTAATTCCTCCTGCTTTGAGGCTGACGGAGCCGTATTGATCCCGCAGAGGATGGCTCTGCATCCATTTGCTGGCAGTATTGACCTCTCCCGAAGTATCTGATCATCTTTGGAAGGACCCTGACCCGAGGACACGCACTGACTGCGGCAGCAACCTTTGGGGGATGAGCAGAGCTGCTCTTGGGATGGCCCCAGGCACACACGAGGTAACCCCACACATGTGCTGCTCTCCCGTTATCCCCGGGCTGTCCCCTGCCTGCCCCCGGTGCTCGCACCCTCCCCGCTCGCCGTGCCCTTTCCCATCGTGCTGGGAATCTCAGCGGCATCGGGCTGAGCTGGGGTTTCTAAATGTTAATTGTAATTTGACATTCGTGATGGTGACACGAGCGCTGATGATATTTTGGCTCCTGGCTGAGGGCGGGGAGGAGATGGTGAGAGATGGAGATGTGCGCTCCGTGAGGCTCGGGGAAAAGAGGGGAGATGCTGCTGGCTGCGGGAGCATCCCCCGGACCTCACCTCCTGGCTCCCCAGGGCTGGGGGGGCTGGATATGAATATTTTCCATCAGAGCTTTCCCACAGGTGGAGGAGGAGCTGTCAGCCCCATGGGAAGCTGCTGCTCCTCACTGCTTTTTCGGTGACTTCATTTGATACAGTGGCTTTTCCCCCACAGTAGCACAGGTGGAGGAAAGGAGGGAAGTGCCCAAAGTCCTGCCTCACCCCGTGGCTCCAATGTCCCTGTTTGTGCCAGATCGTGGTGGCTGCACCAGGGCGATGAGCACCGAGCACCCCCAGATGCTGGAGCAGCTCGGGTGATGCAGAAGCCCAGGTTCCTGTGTGATTTAGCTCAGAGACCTCCCCAGAAATTCCTCGGGACCTGGGCAAAGCAGAGCAGCTTGGCTGCGTGTCCCTGCGCCTCGGGCCGTGCTGGGGCACAGCCTTGTCCGGTGCAGTAAGACTCCAATCCTTCTTCGAGAAGCCCTCGTTTCACCTCGAAGGCAGAGCACGTGTCTCTGAAATCCCCCTGCAGTGGAGGCTTCGCCCAACCCAGAGCAGTGAGGATAAAGCTGACCTCGGGGCACCTCCGAGAGCTCCTTTTGGTGAGGGGATTTGTGCCCGGCTTATCCCACGGGGGCTGCAGCCCCCTCAGCCCTGGCTTTGTGTGTGCCCAGGGTCTGCCCCAAGGCTCTTCTGTGCTGGGGCAGGTGGGGGGCTCCTGGCCTCCCCCAGGGCTTGGTGATCCTGGGCACTGATGGGTACAGACCCTGCTCCTGCCCGTGCATTTCTGCTGGTGAATTGAGCCAAATAACCCCTGGGCGCATCCTTGCCCTGGCAGTTGGGGTGGAAAATCCTCACTGCTCCACCTGTGCACCCCTAAACATCCCTGGGACAGACGTGTCCTGCATCAGCCTGTTTTTTCTCAGCCTCTTCTTGAGAACCTTTTGGAGATAGCTCACAGCCCCCAAGGACAGAAAGCCGCTGTCCTGGAGCCCTTCTTGGGGCTGGGACGTTGCTGCTGGGGGGGCACAGCACAGCTCCATCCCCATCAGCTGCAGCACAAGCAAGACGCAGGGGTCCTTTTGCCTGGGTTTCTGGGGATGGCATCGGTACTGGTGCAGATGAGGGCTGAACACCGTGTGTGCACACATGGGGGGGGGTTGGAGGGGCCCGTGTGCCTCCCAGGGCCGCCCTCCCCAGCACCAGAGCAGAATGACAATGCCGACTGCTCCAGCTCTCGCTGTAAATGAAATCACTACAACAGCCCGGTCGCTCTGCAGGAGACAGCGCTCTGGGCACGATCCCGCGAGCATCCGAGTCCACGGGAATATTGCCACTTATTTTAATGGCAGGAGGGCGGCTGGCCAGCTTTTCAGGAGAGTGCATCTCGCTGGAGAGCACGGAGCTCCTTCAAAGGCCTGGCCAGGGCGCTGCGCCGGGAGCCAGGCAGCCCTGAGAGCTTCTGGAAAAGCAGCTCCTCTCCAGCATCCCCAGCGGGGTCTGGGCGACAGCGCCGAGCCCTGAGCTGCTGCGTCCTGCCCCCCCGGGAACAGCTTACCCCGTGCCAGCGTTGGCAACACAAATCAACCCCTAGTGAAGAAGAGGCTGGGAATGCGCTTTGGGGGGGCTGCGCTTTGGGTCTGGGTGGTCGGAGGGTCAGGAGGAGCTGCAGAGAGCTGTGCCCCCAGGTGAGCCCCCCCCAGGTGCAGGGATTGGGGTCCCCACGGGGTCTGGGTGCTCGCAGCCCCCGCATGCAGGCAGGTGAGCGCTGCAGGCGCTGCGGTGCGCGGTTATCTCGCACTTGTTACTGTGATGGATCGGAGCAGTTAATGTGTCAATGGTCATTACTAGGGGGCCGTGTTTTCTCTGGATTAATGAATTGACGGGCCGTGATGGGCTCCTCGCAGCCGCCGGGGCCCAGTGGGTTGTTTGGTGGCAAAAAAGGCGATGCCAGAGCAGCCCGGGGAGTGTGCACGGTGTGGGGTGTCTGCGTGGGGTGTCTGGGAAGGGACAGCTTGGGACGATGTGGTTCTGGTGGGAGCCTCCTCCCTTGTCCCTGCTCCCTCAGCAGGGAGGGGAAATTTGGGGCCAGCTGTTGGGCATGCAGAGGGAGCTGGGGTGGGCGCCGGGACCCTTCTGGTGCTCACACCTCGCACTGCGCTGCCCGGGTGGGGGTCCTGCAGGGCTCGGCGAGGCTGCTGCCTTTGCACCCGCGGGTGTCACGGTTCCCCTGCTTCTGCAAAGGCTGAAATGAGAGAACGTGACCCGTGGGAAGCACGGCGGGGTCCAGGAGGCCTGTCAGTGCTGCTCTTATGTTCCCGGCTGCGACGATGGCTGCAGGTGATGGGCAGGGGCAGGAGAGGACAAGGATGAGCAAAATGTGCCTTGGTGCTCGGTGCCAGGGGGGGGGGTCCTGGGGACAGCAAGGGCACCGAGGGGCCACCTCCACTCTCCCTCCCTCTGCCCAGCGCTGCCTGAACCCTTCGTGTCCCTGCTCTGCCGGGGGCTCCCCCCACCCAGAACGGGGGGCAGCAGTGGGGACCCCCCCCTCCCATCACCACCTCGGGGCGCTGCGCTGGTGCTTTAAAAGGCTGGCAAACCCCGCAGCGGGCTTCCCAGCGCCTCTTCATGCAAAACTTCCCCGGCCCCAACCCTCCTCCTCCTCCTCTTCCTCCTCCTCCTTCTCATCTTCCTCCTCCTCCTCCTCCTCCTCCTCCTCGGCGCGGCTGCGGAGCGCGGCGGGTCCCGCCCGGCTGCGGCTCGCTCGGGCCGGGGCCGGGGCTGGGGCTACGGGGGGGGGGGGCCGCGGCTTGTCCCCGGTAAGGGCTGTCCCCGCCGCATGCCGCAGGGCCCCCCCGGGCTGCCCGCGCCCCCCCGGGGCCGGAGGCAGCGGCCGCGGGCGGAGCCGGGCTCGGAGCCGCCGCCAACTTCGTGCGCTGCCCGCGGGTAAGTGCGGGGGGGGTTGGGGGGGGGGGGCGCGGCGCATCCCCGGGACACCCGGTGCCCACCCCCCCCCCCCAGAAATAAAAACCTTCCCAGAAAGGGGTTGGGGGTTCCCCCTCCTCCTTTTTCCTGCAGCCTCCCCGCTCTCTGCTCCGGCTATTTTTTTTTCCCTTATTTTATTAAGGGGGGGCTGCGACAGCGTGGTCTGCAGCAGGGAGCCCCCACCTTCACCCCCCCCCCCTAGGCACAACCTGTCCCCACCGGCAGGACCCCGGCTCCCTCCTCCCCGACTAATTGCATTATTAATAGTTGTGGGGCTGCGGAGCGCTGCCCCTCGCCTGTATCCCTGGGGGGGGGACACCCCAGGGTCCTGTCCCCCAGCGTGGCACCGCTGCGGGCTGGGAAGGGGCTCGGGGCACGGGGGGGGGCGCAGGCGGGTGCTGCCCCCGCCTCACTGCAGCGGGCACGGCTGGGGCTGCAGAGCCCCTGCAGGGCAGGGGAGAGAGCTCGCTGGGGACAGGTGCCAGCCTGGGGTTTTATTTTTTGGGGGGGGGTTGCACATCCTCCCCCCCAAAATGCTGGAGCAGCCCCGTCTCCGGGCAGGGAGCCGCTGTGCGCACACACGCGCTGCTGGGTTTGTTTTCCTCTCTCGAGCTCTCCGGCTCCTCGGTGCTTTTTGGGTGCTTGCGGGAGCCGAAGTTGGCAGCCGTGGGGGGAAAAAAAACGGAGAACTCTCCCACCGCCTCGCCCGGCCGCGCTTCTCCTCCTCCTCCTCCCGGTGTGATGAGTTTGCCGTGCTCTGCCAGCCGGCGTCTTCTGCCGTGGGCTGCTTCGGGCTGGGGGAAGAGCCCGCTGCCTTCAGCAAAATCCGTGATGGAGAGGCTGCGGAGGGAGGCACCGCGCTGCTGGGTGACCTGGGGCTGGGTGGGAGATGCCCAAAATTCGGCTGGGGTGGTTGGAGGAGCTGCTGGAGCTGGCTGCTCGCCCGCAGCACGGCCAGGGGAGGAAGGGAACTGAACCGATCTGTTGAATGCAGCGAGGAGCTCGGGCAAATGCCAAGAGAAGTGCCAAAAGAAAAGGCTCGCTTCCTCCCCTCCCTTTCGCTTCGTGGGAGCGGGGATTTTTCCGTGCCAGCACGGCGGGTGCAGGGGGGGACGCGCTGGGGCTGCCGTGCGGAGCGGCTCCGTGTGGGCAGCGGGTCCCCATGGGCAGCAGGGACAGGGGACACGGGTGAGTCCATGTTGGGGACCACAGCAGGTGCTGTGCTGGCGCTCAGCTGCACCCCAGGGTGTCGGGCAGGGCTTTCAAGGTGGGTTTTACACTGGGATCTGGAGCTTAGGTGCAGCTCCACCCTGACCCTGCAACCCGGGGGCCAGCAACACCCTTCGGAGGAGCCTGCTGGCTCCCCAAAAACAGGGTGTCACGTGCTTCAACTTTGGCATCAGGCAGGAGGAGGATGGATTTGTCAGCTCAGCCACCCCCTTCCAGCTCTTCCCAGAACGGCAACGGCTTTGAAGATGTGGCAGGTCCTAATTATAACACACCCGAACCCGCTCCCGCTGCCCGCCCCAGCTTTGCGCCCGCCGCGGGCACGGTCCCTTCCTCTCGGGCTTCACATCTCACGGTGGGGCTTCCTCGATGGGGTGGCCTGATTTCCTGGGCCCCTGTGCTGGTGATGGCCCTGCAAAAAGCCTGGCTGAAAATGGGAAAATGGGGGTCTCTTCCCCCCCCGGGGGGCTTTCTGTGTTGGGTGCCGTCAGCCCGGGAGCTCAGGGTGCCGGTCCAACGGGGAGCAGGATCGGCGCACGGCGCTGCGGGCACTGGCGCTCAGCCTGCGCTCCCCTTCCAAGCCAGCACCGTCCCAGTTTGCAGAAGGTGATCAAAAATTAATTGTGGGATTTGGCTGCGTGTGGCGGGAGCGGGGATGAGCACCGGTTCCTTACTCCCACCGCCGCCTCCCCTCGCCCTGCCGGAGCTGTTTGCGGGGCTGCGCCAGGAGCCCTGCGCTGCCTCTCCGCCGCCTCTCTCCAGGTGAGACGCTGCCCTCGACGCTTCCTCCATGGCCAAATCCTCCTCGCCTTCCCCTCGCCGTGCGAGCCCATCCTTCAAACTGAGGGATTAGCCATGGCCTGCTTTGCAAAAGGGGAGGGAGGGGGAAGGAGAGAGCTTGCCTGCAGTTAAGGATGTGTATATATAGCACGATAAATATTCCCCGAGTGATCTGCGCCCAGTGGGAGCCTTTTTCCTCGGACTGCAGCAGCCCCCGGGCCCGGCTCTGGGGCAGCGTGGAGGTGGTGGCACCCGGCGTGGGGCTGGCTTTGGGGTCCCCATGGCCGTGGGGCTGCGAGCGCTTCGTGGTGCGTGCGGGAGCCACGGGGAGCAGCGGCTTTTCTGCAAAACACCCGAGTGTGGCAGCAGATCCCAGCGTTTGCAGGAACTCGTTGCAGGGAGGTAGAGCTGGGGTTGTGCAAGCGTTGCAATATCGGTCCGTGCAACCATCGGGTGGTGGCCGAAGGGGGCTGCGTCCCCGGGTGCGCCGGGTGTGTTTTGACGTTAAAATCCGGGGTCTGTGCTCTCCGCTGCCTGCTGAGCCGTGGCCTTGCTTTTCCTCTGCCCGGATGCTGGGGAACTCGACCTGAATACTGAAGGTTTTGCCTGTTGAGGGAGAACTTAACCTGGCCTCCCCTCCCTTGCCACGTCTGAATTCTGCTGTGCTTCTCGTAGCCTTCGCAGCCAAAAACCAGCAGGAGCCAAAGCGAAGCTCCCCGTAATAGCTTGTGAGTGAGGAAGAGCTCGCGTGCACTAATTGGGGTATTGTGCCGCGCGCTGGCTGTCCCTGCCTGCCGGAGGATGAGCAGGTGGGCAAAGAAATGGCCTTGATTTTCCAAAAGGAGCCGGCAGCAGCACGTGCGGGGTGCGGGCAGGGACATCTCCTCGGGGCCGGGGCGTGCGGTGGGCGCGGGGGGCAGCCCGGTGGGTGTCGGGAGCGGGGTCTGCTCGGAGAGGTGGGCGCGGGGTGCGGCGGTGCCCTGTGCTGAGCCCCCAGCTCCTGCCAGCCCTGCCTGGGAGCCGAATTTCTGTGGCCTCTCGGCTTTGCCACTGCCGGCAGCGATGGAGCCGCGGTGATTAGTGCTTAGCCGGCACTTGGCCTGGTGGCACGTGAGATGTGAACTTGCTCGCCTGCAGCAGCCGGGGCTCCGTGGAGCTAATGGCAGTGAAATAACTGGGTTTTGACTGGGAGTCCTGCAGGGAGCCAGGCGGTGGCGAGAAATCAGCCGTTTCTTTCTCTCCTTATTTGTTTCTTTGCCCTTTTGAAGGAGCTTTTTCCTCGCTGCAAAATCCTTGTGTTGAGCAAGCTGCTTCTGCTCCCAGGGGGGGTTGGGGGCTCCATCCGAGGTGAGGAGCCCCCGGTTCTGACCTGCCCAGGGGGGCTCCCTCCGAGCCCTGCAGCCTCGATGGGCACAGCATCCTGGGCTGGGCTTCTGCCTCCGAAGCTGCTCTCCTGGGAGCAATGCGGGGTCCTTCTGGGCAGTTTGTCCCTGGAGCTGTGGCAGCGCCAGGCTGGGGAAGGGAAATTTTGCCAAAATTCCTTGTGATGCGTGCAAGGAGGATGCAGCACATCACCCGGAGATGCACCAGCCTTGGTCCTGGGAGGAGCAGAGCCCTGGGTAAGGTCGGTCTGTCTGGAAGCAGAGCTGTGTGTCCAGCAGCACCCCAGCACTGCAGCTGCGTCCCAGCACCCGTGGACATCTCGGGGCTCTGCAGGACGCAGCGAGCCCGAGCTGTGCCTCACTGCAGCCCTGGCCAGCACCGAGCTCCTGAAGAAGCACAGGAGGAGCTGCGGGAAGGAGCTACGAGTGGAGAAGCCCGCTTGTGGCCAGGGAAGGCTGCACCAGGATGGATCCGGGGGGTTTCAATCAGCCTGGGATTTCTCCCAGCCAACCGAGCCCACACTGTGGGCATTGGTGAGGATGGTGATGCCACAGGGCTGGCCGGTGGCTCAGTGGCACAGACACTGCTAGAGGGGAGCAGGATGCCACCATGTGGGATTTACTGCATGGCCCAAGGGCGGTGGGGACCCGCAGAGCAGGGGCCAAGCGCTTCTTCCATGGCTCTCCCTGTCCTGCCGTGGTTTGGGGCTCAGCGAGATGTGGCTGCAGTCCCAGCGCCTGCTTCTGCAGCTCCTGATGCTTGTTGGATTTGTCTGACTCAGGCAGGGCAATAATCCCTGGGATTTCCTGCCAGGTCTGGAAATATGCTCGCTTGGATCAGTCCTTGCACCTCTTGCCAGAGCTCGGATCTGACCACTGCAGGGCCAGGATGAGGGTGAGAGAGGTTCGCTGCTCTCCCACAAAGCACTTGTTGGAGGCGGGAGGCAGCAGCTTTGCTCCTTCCTTTGGTGCTCTGATAATGCCAAGCTCGGTCTGTTTGGGATGCGTACCTGCACCCCGCTGCTTGCAAATGTGCGTGGTTTTGTTCCCCCATGGTGAGTGCTGCCGTGCAGGCTCTGTGCAGGCAGGAGCAGGAGCTGGGCTCCCTCACCTCGCTGCTCACAGCGTGCGCACGGGGTGCTCCCTGCTCCATGGAGAGCTTGGTGCTGGTGCACGTCTCCCTCCAGATGTGGGGGTCTGGCCTTACGGGGAGGAGGGGAAGACCCCCTGGGGATGCAGCTCGCCCTCCTTCTTGCCAAGAGCCCATCACTCACCCATCACTGGTCCCGTGCCCATCAGCACCACCCCAGGCTGGGTGTGTTCCTGGTGTGGGTTGGGACCAGGAATGGGGCTCTGGGGGAGCTGCTGTATGGGGCCATGGGGAGGAGTGGTGGGGAAGGGGCTCTCCTGCCCCTTCTGAAGACTGCTCGGGCTGCACACAGCATAGGCTTGTAGGGTAATTCAGGCTGCATCTCCCTAATGGTTCGGCGAGGGATTCAAACCAGCTCTCCCCCTCCCCTCCCCATTATTTGTGCTTTTTTCTTGCCTGCCATGATATTTTTACCTTCAGTTCGTTCAGATTACATGATCAAAGGAGGCACAAAGGGGAGAGAACAGAGAGGAAAAAGCTTAAAAGAAGAAAGGAAGAGGCTGTGGGCTCTGGGGGCTCCGCTGCGGGCTGGGGCGAGGAGGCTTTTCCTCGGCGCGTGCCACGTGGAGCTCCATCGCGCCGGCCCCCGATGGGCAGAAACCTGGTTCCTGGGGCGAGGGTGGGAGAAATAACCTGATTGCAGCCTGCCCCAGCGCAGGGCTGCACGGGGGGGCTGTGGCATTAAAACCACCCTTGGCTGTCCCCATCCCCTGCCTCTTCGTAGCAGAACCCTGCCCGCTTCCAGGGTGCAGCAGGAGCCGCTTTCCCCTGCCCCGCTCCCGGTGCCGATGCACGGGACGGTGTTTGCAAAGCCCTGGGGGAGGTGGCACTGTCCCCACAGGGCCAGGGTCCCTCTCCTTGACCCCAGGTCCCGCAGGGACGTGCTCGTGGGGCTGTCCTGGTGGGAGATGGCTTTGCAGGTGGCGGTGGGGCGGCTTTTGTGCCGCAGCACTCCCTGCCTGCTGCCTTTGGAAACAAAGAGCTCGGCACCGGGTAATTCGCCTTGCTTAAAAGCCCCGGCTGTCAGAAACGCTTTGGAGATGGGCCTTCAAGTGGCTCCGGCAGGCAGGGATGTGCATAATTTATGGAGGTGAGTTGAGGCAAGGGCCCTCCCAGCTGGGGTGAGGAGCTCCGAGCGGCTCCTCCACGGGTGTAACGGGGCCTGGCTCCAGCAGCAGCCCCCCCATGGGGCCGGCTGAGGATCCGGCCAGGCGGGCGCAGGCTCGGCTGTTGGGCTCGGAGCTCAAGCTGAGAGGAATTGAGGCTGCTTCTCGGGTCTCGCTGTTCCAGCCCGTCCTGCTTGGGGAATGCATTTGCCGGCTTCGCTCTCCTCTGCTTTTCGGTGCCTTGCATTAATCATGCGCTGCCCTCGCAGCATCCGTCGGTGGCTGCTTGGAGGCAGCAGCCGGGCTGCAAGGGAGGGAAACTGAGGCAGGGGCTGTGCTGCTGGGCCAGGGGCACCTCCAGGGCTGGGGGGCAAAGGAATGCAGGTGTGGGTGTGCGCACAGCCTGACAAAAGGTGCTGTCACCAAAAAAATATCCCCAAGGAGCCTGGGGCAGGTCTGAACCATCACCCGCTCCCCAGCATGAGGAATTGTCCGTGGTACCGCTGTGCTGGTGGGATCGTGCTGAGCCGTCTGGGAGCAGGATCGGGGATCCCGCACGCGTCCAGGTCACCTTTGTGCCTCAAAGGAGCAGGAGCCGGATCCTGCAGCAAGCCCTGGGCTTCCTGAGCCGGGATCGCAGCACCCTGTGCCCAGCCGAGGGGCATCGTGGCGTGGTGGGCTGGGGCACCCGGGGCTCCAGTGGACTGGAAATGCTAAAAAGCAGAGCTGCTCGTTAATTGCTGCATGAGGCATTGCTCGGGCACCACTCCCTGTGCCTTCACCTCCAGCGCTGCCTCCAGCTTCCCCGTGAGCCCTTGGCTCTCTCCATCCCCCCCCAGGGGCACCAGCTCGGGGCCGAGCACCTTCGCACCCAGCCGCTCTCCTCTGCCCATCCCGGCTGCTTTTAATTTGCGCTGAGCCTCAGCTCTCCTGCCCGGGGGCAGGCAGAAAGCCAAACTCTCCCCGCAGCTTGGGCGGGTGCTGTCGATATTCCCCGCTGGAGGCTGTCGATACCCGATGCTCGCAAAGAAGCAGTGGCCGATGCAGAGCTCAGCAGCCCGAATGGAGAGCGGTGCGAGCCGCGGTGCTGAGGGGCGCATTTTGGATATGTAATTCCTGGTTTCTTCGGTGCCAGGCTGGGTCTGATTTTGCTTAAGACCCATCTCGGCTCTGCGCCTGCATGGCTGGCAGCGCGGTGCTCAGGGCATGCAGGCAGGCGGTGGCAATGGCCTCATGGCAGGGAATGGAAAAGAAATTTGGGAATCAGCCCCTGGCTGCCCCATCCCTCGGATTGTGCTTGTTTGGTATCTCCAATCTTGACCCCGGTCGTGCAGGGGATGCAGGCGGGCTGCTAATGGCAGCAGCTTGCTTGTGGCTGGGGTCATCGATGGGGACACAAGGGGGCTGTGGTCCCTGGGGTGCAGCAGGGGGTGCTCAGGGAAGGAGGGTTTCTCTAAAGAGAAAAGTCCCCCCCGGATCAGTGCAGGGTCTCCTTGCAGCGTAGCTTTCAGGGGGCTGCTTGGTTCCCGTGCCTGGCTGTGACCCTGGGGCAGGAGGGATGCTCTAGGGTGGCTGGGACCAGGGCTGTGCTTGCATTGGGGTTTGGCCCTCTCTGAGCACTGCCCTGGGGTCTGCCCCACCCTGATAACTCCCCAAAGGGGGTTTGGGATGGGACGGGTCCCGGGGCTCCCCTCCAACCCGTGCCAAGCTGGCCCTGCTGCTGGGGCTGAGCGCGGCAGGGGCCCTGCGCCGGATGCGCTGTTGGGGCTGAGTCAAAGCAGCTGGCGTGACTCACAAATCCAGCAAATCCCAAATCTTTTCTTCCGGGCTCCCTGCTGAAACCTTGGAATGGCTGACATCTTCTCCATGCTCCTGTTTAATTTCCCCCCTCTTTCTCTCCTCCTGCTCCCCCTTCTCCCTCCCAAGGGCTCTGCAAGAAGGACCCGAACCTCTGCTTGGGCAACCCCTGCTGCCTCTCCTCCCCGGCGCAGCGATGCCGGTCCTGGCACCCACCTGCAGCCCGGCTGCTCACCGCACCCTGGGGGCTGCCGGCACCCATGGGAGCCGCTGACGGAGCCGCCGGAGCCATGCCACCCACCCGTGCCCGCCTCGCCGCCTGACCGCCGCCGGGATTCGGGCCGCGCGCTCTGCCCCAGCACGGCTTCGGCGATGAGCGGGGGTCGTTTTTGCATGGAGCGTCTCTCCTTCTGCCTCCTCCTGAGTGCCTGGAGCTGGGGCTGGGCGCCCGGGGGTGCCGCCAAGCCCAAAGGCCAGGGCTACCCGCACATGAACTCCATCCGCATCGACGGGGACATCACGCTCGGGGGGCTCTTCCCCGTGCACGGCCGGGGCGCGGAGGGCAAAGCCTGCGGGGAGCTGAAGAAGGAGAAGGGCATCCACCGCCTGGAGGCCATGCTCTTCGCCCTGGACCGCATCAACAACGACCCCGACCTGCTCCCCAACATCACCCTGGGCGCCCGCATCCTGGACACGTGCTCGCGGGACACGCACGCCCTGGAGCAGTCGCTGACCTTCGTGCAAGCCCTGATCGAGAAGGACAGCACCGAGGTGCGCTGCGTCAACGGCGGCCCCCCCATCATCACCAAGCCCGAGCGGGTGGTCGGCGTCATCGGCGCCTCAGGCAGCTCCGTCTCCATCATGGTGGCCAACATCCTGCGGCTCTTCAAGGTACGGGTCCCCCCGAGGCTCCCTGGACACCTCCACCGGGGCTGAACCCATGAAAAAACGCGGCGGTTTCACCAGGTTTTTGCATGCTTACCTCTTCCTCCACAGCTGGGGGCAGGCAGGAGCGCGAGTGTCTTTAAAAGCGTTTTCCTGCCTCCCCCGGGTCCCCAGGGATCCCCTCCTCCGTCCCCCTCTGGTGACGCTGCTGCAGCAGCAGGCTTTGTCTTCTCCCCCGGCTTCGTGGCCAGGTGGGATGCTGACGCTCCTGGCATTCCTGCCGGGAGCCTTGCGGGGGGACGGACGGGCAATCAGCTCAGGACAGGGTGCAGGATGAGACCACAGGGCTGGAAGGGACCCGGGGGGCTCCATCCCAGCCGCCTGCACCCTGCTGGGTTCAGCCCGGGCTGCTCAGGGCTTGGTCCCAGTGGATGCTGAGAACCCCCCAGGGATGGAGAGGGCTCAGCCTCGCTTGGGGAGCTCCCCAGCCCTCTCCTGGGGTGTCACCTGAGGGGACCAGAGGTAAGGTGACACCTTAGCCAAATTGCTGGGGAGCCGCATTTATTGCTGGGATGGGAGCTGCATTTATTGCTGCCAGCTGCAGGGTGCCAGGAGGGGACGGTGGCGACCGCTCTGTGCCCGGGGACAAACTGGGGACACCGCTGGCTTTGCCCCTGGCCCTGGGTGCGCGGAGGGGAGCGGGGTGCCTGTGGCTGTGGCGCTGGCTGTGGGCTGCCTCTCCCATCGCTCTCCTCCGCTCCAGCTGCAGGAAAACCGAGGAGTTTATAATTACATCCCCCTCGCTGTGCATTTATTTATCCGCAGCAATGTCCTGGGGCTAGAGCGAATGTTTGAACAAGAGCCCCCTCAGCAGCAAAAGGCAGAGAGAAATGCAAACAGGCTGCGCGCCCGGCAGCGGTGGAAGCCCCGAGCTGGCGTTACGCACGCTGCCTCCCCCTCCCGAGCCTCGAAACCCTCCCTTCCTCGGGGGCTGGCTGCCTTCCTCCCGTTCCCCCTCCTCATCCTCCCTCCTGCCCGGCGTGCGGAGCGCTGCGCCCTCCTGGGAGGGCTGGAGGCTGTTAGCAGAGACTGAAAAACAGATCGCTGATGGAGTTTGATTTTTCTGGGTCCCTTTTAAAAAAAAAAACGTGTTAATGTTCCAGGCGACGAGCGAGAGGGCTATTCAATAATTAAAATAATATAAATTAGAGAGAGCGGGAGGAACTTAAAAGCTATTTGCCGAGACAAAAAAAGATTGAATGCTCACTTCAGGGAGGGAGGCAGTGAGGAAGGAGGCAGGAGAGTGACAGCTGGAGGAGCGGGGGGAGCTGTTTTGGGGTGGGTTGGGCTATTTTTTTTTCCCTTTCTCCTCCAATTTTGCTGCTTGGACAAAGCATCCGTGACCATGCAGGGGGATGTTGCCGAGCCCCAATGCACCCTGGCACTGGTGGTGGCCCAGTGGGGACCTGTCTCAAGCCTCGGTGTCCCCAGCGTGGGGACCCGGCCCTCAGCTCAACTGGGAGCCCTGGGACTCGCTGTCCCCACCTCCCTGCCAGGCGCTGGTGGCCCCAGCACGGGGACATTGCTCCCGCGGGATGTCAGGTCCAGCCCTGCCCCGCGCTGCCTGCCCGCCGTCGCTCTTTGTTATTCAAATAGTGGGTTTATGGCACGGACATGCTTAAAATGAAAATCAGGCAACTTCCATTTCACGCTGCCGCTGACCTTTAAGCGCGGGCGGCTCCGCTCAGAGGTTCAGCAAAGCGTTTGCCTCCCCGGGCACGGCTGCGCTCACAGTTTTGCCTTTTCCTGTCCCCTCGAGGGACGATGCTCGCTCCTGGGCTGGAGCCAGAGATTTGGCTCCTGCATCAGCCCCGGGACTGCGAAGTGCTGGGGCACCCTTTGTGCAGGGTACAGCCAAAATGGGGGCACGGAGGGAGCACCGGGGTGCCCCTGGGTGCAGGATGAGGCTCGTGGGTCTGGGGGCTGAGCAGCTCCCCCTCTGCCTGCCCCAGGATCTCTGTGTGTCTGCTTCGTGCTGTGGTTCGGGCTCCTCTTGCCCTGCTGGGAGGGTTTTGGCAGTGGTGCTGCAGAGCCCTGGGTGGGATGGGGTCTCAGCAGCCCCTGCCCTCCTCCAGCTGGCCCCTGCCTGGGGGTGCTGTGCTCTCCTCGCCCCGTGCTGTGCTCCCTTCCTGTGCGCCCCGTTCTGCTCCATCCCCTCCCCACCAGCCCAAAGCCATTGGCAGGGAGGGCTTGGCGCATCCCTGGCAGGGGTTTCGTCGCTCCCATGCTCCATAAATAAATAACGTGTCCTTCGTTAGCTGCCATTGCCTAATTAAAGCTGTACATCAGCGGAACAACTTGCAGATGCGGCATCCTCTGTCCAAGCTGGTTTCATCACTCCTCGCAGCTCTGCATGCAGAAAAACCTCCCCTCAAATCCCTGCTCTCGCCTCCTTGCGATAGCATCTGTCTGTCGTCACTGCCAGAGCTTTCTGGCACGCTCCAGCTCCTTCCCACCCCTGTCTGCTGGCTCTCCAGCCTCAGCACTACCCACTTTCTCCTGAATGACCACGGCGACGATGGTGTAAAAGAAACCAGGTCCGTCCCCTGCAAATGCGACTCCCCAAAAGCTGCATCAGGGCCTGGGCTGTGCTTTTCCATCCCGTCCTGAGCGAGCTGGGGCACAAGGAGCACCCGTGTGCTCAGCTGGGGCGAGGAGCATCCCGGGTGAGCGGAGGCGCTGGGCACGCACCCGACACTTAGAGGCGCTCGTTTCCTTCTCTGCAGTGAGTTCTCGAGCTCCTTTTAGCACTGGGGTGTTGTACAGCATAATTAATCCACCTCTAATGGAGGACGCTGGCCCATCGCATGCAGCGGGAGCTGTGCGTGCCCGTGTGCCTGCACGCACAGGGTTTTTTTTCTGGCTGGGGATGCGGAGCAGGATCCGGCCCCCAGCACCAAGCCCTGGAGAGGTGGAAGGGAGGTGGTGGAGAGAGCGGTGCCCTGCGCACCACGCGGCGCTGCTTAGCGGGTAAATAACCTTCATGAAGACGGGGAGGTGGAAATCGGCTGGGGGACGCTCTGATTAATCACCCGCTCTGTTGCTGCCAGTTCATTTCCTCGTTCTGCTCCGGGTTTATTAAAATGAATTGCAGCCTCCCCGGCTCCCCTGGGCTGCCCCGGCCACGGCAGCTCCCCCGGCACCGCTGGGCGAGGAGGAGGAGGAGGGCGGCAGGGCCGGTGAGGAGCCCGATGAAGGGCAGCAACCGCGGCTCCCTGCACCCTGAGCTTTGCTCTTGGCTAGGTTGGGAGCTTGTTTTTTTGGGGAAAAAAAATAGGATGCAGCCAAGCAGCTGGCTTGGTTTATCAGGTTGTGGCAAAGGGGTGGGCAGGACGGGGAGCTCATCGCTCCCTGCCCCAAGCTGTCCCCCCTCGAGCGTGGCTGTCGCGTGTCACCCCGCAGCAGCTGGGGCTGGGAACTGGAGGAATTTGTTATCAGCTCCATGACAGGGTGCTGTTTGGGATGCTGGAGTGATTTGCTTGCCCTGGCCCCCGTTTCCATCTGGGGAAACCAACAGTGACAAGGGCTGAGCTGGCTCCGCACAGCCCCCTCGTTCCCCCAGCCCCTGCGGTGCTTTGTGCTCTCCCTAATTAAAAGCCGCTGTCCAAATGGCTCAATGATGGAAATTCTAATTAAATCAATTCCATCTTGTCTGTGAACCAGAGGTTGGCATAAGATACGCATGAAATTAATAATTATGGTTAGGGAATTAGCTGCTCCTGACCCCGTCTGTGGTGCAGGGGCACTGGTGCAAGGAGCAGTGGGGTCGGAGCACCGCATCCCTGCAAACCCCGGCTGGGGGCCGTGCTCAAGTTGCTGCCTTTGTCTGAAGCTTTCCAATCTGGAGCAGATTATGATCCTCTGCTGTTAGACAAAATGCTGCTGTTAGACAAAACGCTGCGCTATCGTCAGCCAGTGCTGATGAAATGGGTTTCGAGCCCAGGTGCTTTTGCGGTGGAGGTGTCGGGGGAGAGTTTGAGGTTGACCACACTGGTGCACCGAGGGCAAATCTGACCCAGGGGCTTGGGGGGCAGGACTGTACCCCTAACCACGGCTTCTGCCTGCTCTCCTACCCTGGGGGAGCTTTTCTCAAGGCTGGGGATGTTTCTGAATGATGTTGACCCTATTTTTGTTCAAAATGAAGGAGAAGGGAGGTTTTTCCCTCTGTCCCAGGGTTACTCCTTGGTCTTGATGCGGTAAGGTAGTCCTGGGGTGCAGGAGAGCTGATCCCGCTGATTTCCCCACCAGCACCGTGGTATTTAGCCTGGTCTGGCAATGACCCAGGCAAGGAGCTGAGAGCAGTGTGGTGCCTCTGCGAGTTTGTTCAGGGCTTGTGCCGGTGCCCAAATGTGCAGCCGAGGTGCATTGCCAGCTCCCCCCACCCGCATCCTTCTTTCTAAGAACCTTGAATTCCCTGCCCGCATTTTGCTTTCATGGACCTGAAAGGACTTTTGTCTTTTATCTGAGAAAATAGCTGGTGCCGGGAGTTGGGCTATTGTAAACCAGGAGATCAAAAAGGCAGAGGGGGAAAAAGGCAGAAGAAATCTATCAAATGGTCATTTGGGAACCGGTATTTTATTTTCACTTCCATCCAAGGTAGTGTAGCGAGGGAGAAAAGCTCTTTCAGTTTGTTTATTAAAATACGGCTTCCAGTTCATAACCTGGAGATCAACAGGTACTGCCTAGGCTCTGCTTCCCCGCAGGGGCTGGACCAGGCTGTGTGCCCTGGGGTTAATCCCAACCCTGGGCCTCAGCTGGAGCCCATTGGCACTTCCATGGGACGCGGCATCCCAGGGGAATATCCGGGAAGCATCCCTCCTCTGCAACCTGCTGTGGAGGTGTGGATCTATGAAAACCATGGAGAAAAATTAGTTGGGTTTGATGGCCTGTGGAAAGTCAGCTTGGCACCATTTCTGCCCCGAGTCTCACATGGCACCGCTGCTTTGCGCACCCACCTGGCCCCATTGCATGGCACGCTGCACACCAGCCTCCTCGTGCAGCGCCTCCACCCCAAGCCTCCCTGCCCGTCCTCACAGCACCACTGCGAGCCTGGCAGGAGGGAAAAGGAAAGGAGAGAAGGAGCAGAGCATCCCCCAGCTCCCTCCCCAGGATGAATGATTGCTAGACGAGCGCCTCGCCTGCTGAGCAGAATTTTAATCGGGCCTCACGCACCGGCTCCTGGTCACAGATACCCAACGAGCAGATCACAGCCCCTTGGAAAGGAGCACAAAGCAGATTGTCACAGAGAATAATCCTATTTGTGCCTTGATAAAGATTCCTTCCTTTCCCTCTCCCACTTGTTCTCCTTCTCTCCATTTTTTCATCTCATATTTTGCTGTAGGTGGAGGGGCGGCTGCTCCTTTCCAGGGGCCGTTTAGCATTCAGGTGGAGTCGTGGGTTTATAACACCGGTATCACGTTTAATGGAGAGAGTGAGGGACTGGAGTGGAAAAGGGGAAAATAACAGGAAAGCAGAGGAGAAACTGCAGCACGGCCTGGGAGCAGGAGCGGAGTAGGACTGGGGCAGCCGGGAGGGCCGGGCAGGTCCAGGGGGCAGCTTTGGGGTGTGCCCCCACCCTTGGGTGCTGGGATCTGGGTCAGGGGCTGCTCCCCCCCATCGGGACGGGGCTGTGCTGGTATCTAACCAGGGAGGTGGTGGTTGGAAGCACCATCGTTAGAAGGCAGGTGCCAGCATTTCAGGCTCCCAGTGAGGTGGCTTGGTCTTATAACCTGCACTAGGATGCCTACGCACCCCAAACCTCTCCCACCCCCTGGTTCTCCCCTCTGCTGCTGCAAATTAGCTAACTGCTTAATGCAGGAGTGGCGACTGGTGAGGCCAAACTCAGCCTGAGCTGGTTTAAGGCATCTGGCATGACCCAGATGGGGGATCCCGGGGGCTCATTGCAGCTCCCCGTGGCTCCAGCTGTGTTTGTTCTCCTGCAAGCTGCGATTGCTGAATTCCTAAACTGGGAGAGGGAGGAAAGGCCCCCCACAGCTGGGGACTGCTGCTCTGCATCCCCTTGCCCTGTAGCACGGAGCAGTTTGGGGTCAGCGTTGCTTTGGGCTTTTCCTCCTCTATTTGTGCTGTGCCTGTAGCCACGGCCAGGCTGCACCACGGCAGCTGGCTGAGCTCCAGCCCCTGCCATTAAATCGCTGCTAAATCCAAAACCACGTCCCTGTTTTGGGCAGGGTTTGGCAAGCCCTCGAGCTGTGCCAAAGCAGAGGAACGTTGCAGAGGTGCGTGGTGCCCGACAGGGTGTAGGATGCGGAGGTGATGGATGGGCTGGCTCTGGTTTTGGTACGTCTTCAGTAGGGAACTTCAGGCTGGTGCGGAGAACCTGGGCTTGATAATTTAATAAACCTTTTCCATCTTTAAGATAAATTAACATCTGTGGTGTGTTTTGGAGATGTAAAGTGCTGTGTAAGTGCTAAGCATCGCATGATCCTCTGGTGCTAAATCACTCTAATGTACTGCGCGAGGTGCAGGAGCTCTGATTAATTTAAAAGGCTTATTTATGGCTTGGCTGGACAGGGTCTGGCAGGGTGCGCTCCTGTCGGTCCCTCATGGGGCAGGAGGCCAGAATATCGTAGCTGTGGAGTTCAGGGCAGGAACAAGGCTTTCTCTGGGGCCTCTGCATACTGGAGGCCCTGCTGGGTGTCACTGAGGGGTCCCTCAGCCTCTCCACTGCCTCCTCCTGGGGCCAAACCAGGCATCACAGCCGGGGTTTGGCTGCTGCAGGTCCCAGCTGGAGCTGGTCCCTTCTCCTGGGCACCTTGTCATCCCGTGGCCTCTGCTTTCCTGTGGCCATACCCAGGATCTGGGCGTGAGCAGGCCTCACACCATTCCTTCACCTCTGTTTTTGGCTGTTTGGGGGGGCTGGTTTCTTCTGGACACTTCCCAATTCCTTGATTTCCACCCCCTGTGTCCTCCCGAGTGGGATTTAGGGACCACGGGCCTGGTGAGGGCAGTGCAGCCGGGTGCAGCTGGCCTTTTTCTCCTGACTCTGATCTTTCTTCGTCCCAGATCCCCCAGATCAGCTATGCATCAACCGCCCCGGACCTGAGTGACAACAGCCGCTACGACTTCTTCTCCCGCGTCGTCCCGTCCGACACCTACCAGGCCCAAGCCATGGTGGACATCGTCAAAGCCCTCAAGTGGAACTACGTCTCCACCTTGGCCTCCGAGGGCAGCTACGGGGAGAGTGGCGTGGAGGCCTTCATCCAGAAGTCCAGGGAGGACGGTGAGCAGATTGCCCTCCCGTGATGGGGGCTTGGCGTGGGTTTTGGGGCAGAAAAGGCAATTGGGTGACCAGTTGGGTCACCACCTGGGTGACGTGCAGCTTGTTGTGGGGTGGTGGGACGGGTCTGGGGCGTCGTGACCTGAGCTGAGGAATGACAGGAGTAGGGTCGGGAGCCCTGCTTTAGGGCATGATCCTGGGGTGCTGGGGGCTCAGAGCTTTGGGGTTGCTCTGCTGGTTGTTTAGTTGTAGGGACACTGTGGTGGCCGGTTCCTAGGCTGGGTGTGTGTCCTGTGCAGCACTGCTACATGTCCCGGGGTGCTGCTCTTGTCACCTCCCCATGGCCAGCAGTGGGGACGTCACCAAGTGGGGATGGGAGCAGCCATCTGTAGGGCGGGCTGGCTGACTGCTGCCAGCTCCTCTCAGAAAGCATCTTGAAATCCCATTCCCTGCGCACAAGGAGACCTCAAATCTGCTGGGTCGGCGGCTGCCAAGCGCGAGCTGATCCAGCCCCCTCCTTCCGCACGGAGCTGGGCGCCTTCCAGAAGAAAAGACTTTTACAAATACTCCCAGGTTTTAACAGAAAATAAAGTTGGCACCAGCTCATGCTTCACCCAATTTTAGTGGAATTATCCCTGAGGGCAGGTGCTTTAACTTGTCTATAGGCTTTGGACAGGCGGAAAGTCCGTGCTCAGCAAAACTCTTTTGCGAGGATTTGTCGGGAGCCAGAAAGCGTTTTGCTGACAGGAGCGCAGGGATGCTTAGGAGGGATTAGCAGCCTCGGGAGCAGTGGAAAAGCTCGTGGGTACCAGCTGGTGGCCAAGCACCCACCCAGGGACCATCTGAGAGGGACGAGGACCCCCAGGCACCGCTGCTGTGGGTGCTGTTGCAGTGGGCATCAGCCCAGGCAATGGCTCCGTGCACCCTTTCAGGAGGTCTGGAGCTGCCCCGAGACCCCACAAAGGGGCTGTTGGGGCTGCTCCTCGCCCCAGCTTCGCTTTGCCTCTGCGGCATAGTGTGTGCAGGGCGAGCCGGGAGCTGAAGAGTGTTTTCTGATGCAGTTAAAACCCTGCAGAGTACAGGCTGCTGCCTATTACTGGCTTAACTGTGTCTGAATGGCACATTAAGTTCTGGCAAAATCGGTGGGACACCAGCCTATCTGGAGCTAGTCAAACTGTGTTATGGCCTTATAAATGGATAAAGGGAATAAAAACTTCTAGGTGACGAGCTCCTAATCAAAGCCCTATAAATAGGAACAGCGTTAATTCTGTCTCTCGCGCGCGCCGTGGCACTGGGAACCGGCTGTGCTTTTAATATGCAGAGAAGCCCATCTGGGGATTCAACCTGGAATCTGCTCTTCAGGATTTTAACTTGAAAAGCAGAAAAATCTTCACGGGCCTACGGCTGCAGGAGGAGCGCGTGGGGGTGTTTCGGAGTCGATGGCTGCGATGACTTGAGGCTGTCTGCACGGCTGCGTGCGGCTCGGGGCGTGCTGTGCGTGTCCCCTGGGGTGGGGATGCGGGTGCGAGCGGTGCTGGGGGGCACGTGCTGTGCCACAGCTGTGGCTGAGCACACAAAATCCAGGTGCAATGGGGATACACGGGGCTGCCGGTGTGCAGCTTGGGCACGCATGGTACCCAGAGTACTGGGGCGGCAGATTGGGGGAAGGATGCTCGTGGGGGTGGGAAGGATGCTCGTGGGGGGGAATGATGCTTGGCTGCAAGCGAAGGGCTGTGTTTATGGCTCTGTTAACAGCTTAACCAGTAACCCTACTGGGGTTTGTAAATGCTAACAGCAGCCCCATCTGGCTCGTGATGATAACGAGATTTGTCTGATGACGGAAATAAAGGGAAAGAGGCTTTTTTGTGGGAATGAGGGGCATTTTGCATGGGTTTTCCACCTGAAAAGGAGAGTTTCCTTGCCTGCCCTGGGCTGGCGGGTCCTGCTGGGCTGCCCATGTCCCATGACAGGGGAAGGGCTGCTGGGACCAGTGGGTGACATGGGGAGATGACAGCAGCGTTGGGTTCAGCTGCCATGTTATTCTATCTAGCCTTGGTGTGCCTTAATTTTGGGGAGAACACAGCATCACACGGCCACTCCATCTTGGCCATCGCTTCCCTGTGGGGTCAGGGTGTGGGGCTGGATGTGGCCAGGGGATTGGGCCCGGTTCAACCCCTCCATTATGCACCAGTAAGGAGCAGGTGTTGTGACTGGTGGTCCCTCTGCAGCACGAGCGCTTCTGGTTTGAGATACCTGTGGTTACCGTGAATTCCTATCACCAGATGGTTAATGATATGATGGCATAATTGCAGTGTAAACGAGTGTACATGGAGTTGAAATGCACGCGTATTAATCTGGGACTGAGGCAGTCCTGTAATTTGTATATCCGCATAACCCAATGATTATGTGCATTAGTGATAATTTAGTTATCAAAAAGCATAATTCCACTGTAATTGCGGCAGAACGGCAGCGTGAGTGCAGCCCGTGCGTTATCAGCAGTAACGCTGCTCCCCTGCTCACTTGTGTACAGGAGCTGTCGTGCATCAAACGCCGCAGCCACGCGGGGCCTGGAGACGCCGCCAGCACGTGGGCGCCTGCGTGGGGTCTGAGCATCTCCCTGGCGTGGGGTCCTCAGGGTTTCCTGGCTCCTGCACCCACAGGAGGGCAGCTCTGCAGCTGTCAGTAATGAGAGGATGGGGACGAGAACGTGCTGTGTGTGTTTCATGGATGCGTTTTTAGTTTGAAAATCCCCCCAGCCTTGTGCCCTGTGCGAGGTTTGAGGAAGAGCCTCGCTGTGCCTGCTTTGCCTCTCCAGTGTTCCCTCATAAATTTGGATGGCCCTGCTGTCACCAAATGGCTTTACACCAGCACAGAGCCACTGGGAGCCGGCGAAGGATCCGTCCCTTTCTTTTATAGCCTGTTCGTGTATGCCTGGCTCTCATTTCCACTCCTCCAGCAGCATAAAGGACCCGGCAATTTATTTCTGCTTCAAGGTGCCTCCGGACTGTCAAGGCGATGCAGAAGGGCTGCTGCTCCAGGATCTGGCCTCTGCTTGTCGTTTGTCAAGCCGCAGAGCTCTCCGGGCATGCTGGCACAGGGTCTGGATGCCGCAGGGCACGGGTGGGCACGGGGACGGCGCTGCAGGCTGGGCGCGCGTCTCCCTGCGTGCCGACGCGCTCGCTCTCCCCCATAACATCGCTCCGCTTCATTTCTCATGCCAAGCCTGAGTGTTCGGAGTCGGGTTTTATTTCCATCAGGCAATAATGCTCATTGCTGTAGTTAGCAGTTAGCATTCAAGCTGTTTGCTTTCTGATGCATTATCAACTTGACCTTCAGTTTCAATTTTTAGCAAAGCTTCGTGCTAAAGCGGCTTCTGCTGCAGCGCAAAGCGTTTCTGCTCCAGGCACGAACTCACCCCTCTCCGCCGGTGGGCTGGGAAGAAGTTCGCCCTGGGGCAGGTTATTCTGCCGAGTGACCCACGGGGGCTGTCTTGCAGCCAAGGGCTCCTGAGCCAGCCTGACCCAGGAGGGCCGTTAGGTTTTATGTATGGCAATTACTTTGCTGGCCCCTGGCAATTGCTGCCGGTTGCACCGATGGCAGGATGGGCATTATTCATGGGAGCAAAGGTTTTTTGGGCGTTATCACTGCCAAAATGTTATGTCTGCAAAAACGTGTGTTTTCATTGGACACTTTAAGTGCATTCTCCCCCCAACACCCTGCAAATACGGGGGGGGGTACTATCTGTATGTGCAGCTTGGCACCAAGGTGCGGGGCAGGGCCAGCAGCGGGTGTCCCAAGCTCCTCTCGTAGAGCATCTCACCGCCCCTGGGCATCCCCTGGGGGAAGGGACAGACCTGTCCACGGTCCCCTGGCTCTGCGTGTGCTGACATCTCTGCTGTCACTGAGCTCTTGGAGATGAAGCATTAGATTTATGTTTATGTAATTTAGCTGGTGTGCACAGCGTGTTATGCCACGCGTCGTAATGTGCTGTGCTCTGCTTTGTGAAGAGGGCAATATTTCTAGGCGAACGCACGACTCCTTAGTCATGTGTCTGGATCAATTTTACACTGTCATTTCCCCCCTCTATTGTTTTATCCTTCGCTGAGTTTTCTATATTTTTAGTTAAGAGCCTGATATGTATTTGCGGTGCATTTGTTCATTACCGTGTGACATTCATGGCTGTCTTTCTGCTTTTAGCCGGGCTCATTACTTTTGCTCGATGCATCAGAATGTCACCCCCGAAGGGGGATCTGACGATCGCAGCCCCGCGCACGAAGTTTGGGTGATGCTGAACGTGGGCTTCAGCATCACTCCTGAGTCTTAAGGTGCGAGGCAGCTCCGAGTGCCACATTTCAAAGGATTCGATGTGGAAGCGTGGAGGTGGCTGCCCTGGGGAGCAGATGCCACCGGTCCTGCAGATGCCACCTCCGTGGGATGGACGGGAGCACAGCTGCTGGTTATTTCTCAGGGCTGCTTGCAGGGAGAACTTTTTTTGGCACGCCACCACCTCCAGCAAAGAGCACAGGAATTAAAGCGGGTGACCTTCAGCCCTGTGACGAAAGGAGGTGTGATTAGCAGTAATGCAGAGCCGGGCGAGGAGGGCTGCCCGGCTCCCTTTCATCTCGGAGGATTGCTGTTCTTCTGCAGTCAGCACTCAATTACTGCGTCTCACCAGAGGGCTGCTATTTGCTGCTGGCGTCTCCGCTCCCCAGCCAAATCCTCCGCTCAGCACCCGGCACGGAGCTGGAAATTTTTTCGTGGCACGGTGCCTGCTCCGGGGCTGGATCTGCAGCCTGGGCTTCGGGTGAACCCATTCCTGCTCTGAGGCTGGTGGCTTTTCTGTCCCCTCTGGGGCTCAAGCTGAGCATCTACCTCCACAGTGTGGCTCAGGAAAGGTCCCTGGCATCCTGAGACCAGAACCAGCCTGGTTATACCCATCCCTTGCTCATGTGGGTCTGGCCGCAGCCACCTTTCCTATCCCAGCATTTTCCTTGTGCTGTGTG